TTCAAACTCGCGAATGCGAGAGGAGGGACACATACACGAGTCAATATAACCCACCTTCGTTGTAATGCACTGGTGTACGTTTTATGCCGACGAAGGCGGGCGGTGGCTATGCAATCTCTATATACCGTGTCCTTCCTTTCTCGCTCGGTGTGCCTGTCATATCGTCATGAGGTTTCACGGGCTCTTTGCTGCTGGATGTAATGTACAGTACACTGAAAATGAGTATAAGGCCGGCCATGACTGCACCGTTGTTTTCGTCTCCTCCTTCTTCCCTCTCCACTCTGACTCATTTTTAGGGATTAGATGGATTTACAACTCCAGTTATGCTTAATCGTCAGTCTCCAGTGTTCATTTTTTTTTCCCCCTTATTTTTTCTGGATTTAATTATGCAATTGGGCTTTACTGAGCTGCTGAGAGATTTCGTATCCTCGGGAAATCAGAGACCGAGTGGGAAAGGATGAGCAGGAGATTTGAAACGTTAGTTGGAGAGTTAGGTCGTCGGACACTTGCTCCCTCTTCGATATACATGGTGTACGGGGGGTGGGGGTGGAGAGAGGTCAGCGGCCGCAGAGTCTCGCGCGAGACTACTTGCCTGGCTGCTCTCCTCGGGTCTTTGGGCACTTGGGGGCCGACTTCTATCTGCTTTGCCTCGGCATAACACACCGGCATGAGCTGCCATTTGACGGGATGAAATTTTGCCCAGATCGGGTGCAGGTTTCAGGGTATTTTTGGGGAGGTGACGGTGTTGGTTCAGTGGGTCAAGTCATCAATTGTAAGCTTGGAATGAATTCAGGAGTGAAGCGGTGAAACGGTTCAAGTCCATTTAGGTATCAGCTGAGTTGTTGAGGAATATTGCTGAATCTGAGAGAGATAGCGTAATTTTTGTAATAACCTTTTTTGTAGAGCGAATTGAGGGCTACAAAAAAGGTCATGACAAAAATTTTGCTATCCCCCTTAGATTCCGAAGTATTTGTTGAAAACTGGCCAGTAGTCAAAATTGACTTGAGCAGGTTTACGGTTTGGTTACTGAATTTATATCGTATGCGTCGAAATGATCTTCAAATGAGGGATGCAGCGGCTATTTTTGCAATTGATGCAAAATATATTATAATTGTCTAGAGAATTCCAGTATTCACAATTTCGGATGGACAGTCTTGCGATTTAATTCAACTCTTTGAATTCTCGGATTTTCAGCGGAAATTACGGATAAATAGGTGAATTCAGGAGGAATTTAATTGCTGTATCTATTAATGTTATGGAGAAAATTAAATGTGGGGTATTTTTGGGGAGGTGACGGTGTTGGTTCAGTGGGTCAAGTCATCAATTGTAAGCTTGGAATGAATTCAGGGGTGAAGCGGTGAAACGGTTCAAGCCGATTTAGGTATCAGCTGAGTTTTAGAGGAATATCGCTGATTCTAAGGGAGATAGCGTAATTTTCGTAATAACCGTTTTTGTAGAGTGCATCGAGGGCTACAAAAAAGGTCATGACAAAAATTTTGCTATCACCCTTAGATTCCGAGGTATTTATTGAAAACTGGTCAATAGTCAAAATCGACTTGAATAGTTTTACCGCTTGGCTACTGAATTTATATCGTATGCATCGAAATGATCTTCAAATAAGGGTAGTAGGGGTTATTTTTGCAATTGATGCAAAATACATTATAATTGTCTAGAGAATTTCAGATTTCACAATTTCGAATGGACAGTCTTGTGATTTAATTCATTCAATTTTCTTTGAGAAATTCATTTAATTCTTTTTTCGTTTAATTCTCTTTGAATTCTCGGATTTTCAGTGGAAATTATGGATAAATAGGTAAATTCAGGAGGAATTTCATGAATGTATCTATTAATGTTACGGAGAAAATTGAAGTGGAGTATTTTTGGGGGGGTGACGGTGTTGGTTCATTAGGTGAATTCATCAGTTGTATTGAGCTCGGAATGAAATTAGATCGTATTCATTGGCTGTTCGGGATGAATTTTCATTTGATTATCTTCAATTCACTTTTCTTGGCTACGAAAATGATCTTCAAATGGGACAGGGGCTATTTTTGCAATTGATGCACATTATAATTCTTTAGAGAATTTCACTGTTCACAATTTCGGATGGACATCCTTGGGCTTCAACTCGACTCGAATAATAATGAATTACAATTTTTTCAAGGAGAATAAACCTCACTTCATTTCAATTTCCCATTGAACTATAAATTTGCAAACACCTTTAATTTTGAAGGTTTCGTATTGTAAATTCAGTCGAAAATTTCCCATAAGTTTCTCCCTATTCGTAACTTCTCAAAACATGAAGAAACTTTCGCCTTCATATTCTGCCTAAAACTTCACTGTTGAAAATGTCTAAAGAAAGATCCTTGAAACGTTAATCAATCCGTTAAATTTTCAGGTTTTCACTGTAAATTACAAATTACTCAAGTCAACAGTGAATTTATGACCTCATCGTTCACTTTTATGAAATGAACTGAATATTGATGCCTTCATGATTGAAATATCTCATTCTTCCAGAATATTCGGAATGAATTGCCATTTTTCAAGACAAATAAACGTCATTCCATTTAAATTTACACAAAAACCTATAAATTTGCAATCATCTTAAATATTGAAGTATTCATATCGAAAATTGAGTCGAAAATTTCCCATCAGGTTCTCCCTGTTCGTGACTTCTCACATCACAAAACGACTTATTTCTTCGTTCTGCCTAGAATTTAACTTGTTGAAAATTTCTAAAGAAAAATCTTGAAGCTTAAATCAACCTTTCAAATTTTCCGCTTTTCATTAAAAATGACGGATCAATAGAACCAAATTTTTCATATCAACGGTAAATTTAAGATCTCATCGTTCAATTTTATGAAATGAACTGAATATTGATGCCTTGATGATTGAAATATCTCATTCTTCCAGAATATTCAGAATTTCCGAATGAATTACCATTTTTTGGAGACAAATAAATACCACTTTATTTCAATTTTCCACTAAAACCAAAATTTGCAAACACCTTTAATTTTTAAGAATTCGTATTGAATATTCACTCGAAAATACCCCATCATGTTCCTCCCCATTCTCGACATCTCCAAACATTGAAAAAAAAAATATCAAAAAATTTCCTTCCATTTTTACTCGTGACGATAAAAAATATCATGCAAAACCCCAATTCGTTTTTTTTTCACTCGCAATCACAATTTTGCAATCCCCCTTTATTAATAGAAATGAAAGTTTTTTGTTTCAATCTGTTTGCTTTGTTTCACGAGAGAATGATATCATTTTTTTTTCTCGTTCATCACGTAAGTGCACACTGCCACTGTTGTAAAACCGTTGTGATTAACGATTGCAGCATCGTGAATATTAGCCACAATATAATCACGAGGGACTTGACGTGCAAACGGGTAGACGTGCCCGCTATTCGCCCGGTGGATTACCTCTCTACGTATTTATGTTAATAACGCTGAAATTCCCGAGTAGCACTCTACTGTTACAATGGCCTGCCTTCACCAGTGCGGATATCGAATTGGTATGGCAGCGATGAAAATGCCAAGAATTTACGTTAGCACTGTTGTCGGTTGACCGTTTGATATTTCGAGTCATTTACCAGAAATGGGGGATTGAAAGTTTTGCACGATTGCTTGATGAGTAAACAGTATCATTAGGTTTTCAATTGCAAAATCATCAATACAGTATTGCGATGTTACTGGCCACCAATTCATCCCTAGAAATTATCACATGGACAACTCATTATTCAGTGTTGAATATTTTTGGCTGAAATTTCCGGTAGACTTTTCAGAAATTTTCATCACATTTTGGTTCCGCTGGAATTAAAAAAAATGTCATTGAAAATTCACTGTTTCATGGAAAAATCTATGAGAATTGTAAATTTCAGGTGAATTATTTCCTAAAATTAAGTAGAAATCAGGAAAATTCCGGTAAATGTATTTTTCAATTTACAGTTGATTGAAAATTTATCGCAATTCGGCGCTAAATATTCATGATTTCATTGAAAATTGAAATAGGTTGAGGAATTCTCGTGTTAATGCTGTTTAAAAATTAGGAATTTTTTGGAAATTTCATGATTTTTTCTCCCTTAAATCGCATTTATTGTCACTCCCGAAAATTACTATTCGACTTTTCATCACTTTGACAATTTGTCACAGAAAATTTTTCGCAATTAATCGATAAAAAATGAGCGAAATGAAAGACTGTATATAACAAACAGTGTATTTCATCACGCTATGCGTAAAGTGACATTTTACGCACGCAAAACCCCACTTCAGGCGCATTGTGATGAAAAATAGCACTATTCGACATTCGTGGGGAAGGTGTTTCCCTTCACTCGCTTTCGGCAAGCGCTATGCTCCACCCCCACCTCAAAAGCCACTTTTCCGCACTCGTACCAAAATATGCAATTCTATAATTGTGCAGAATTAGTATATTTGAAGACGAGTGTCATGGGGTTTTTTTACTCGCGCGGTTGGCCAGTCCTCGCCTTCGGCTCAGACGCTAATTCCACGCGAGTAAAAAACCCCAGGGCACTAGTTGTGAACGATATTTTCCCGTAGTGATTTTCACTTTTGTCAGTTCGGGGAAGGGTCAGTACCAATCCCCGGACTGGGAAAAGTGTAGGTCAGTACGGAAAAATTATTAACAACAGCACCCTTCGAATTTCCATTCCAATAATTGAATATCAAATGAATTTCGCAATTATTTTTTGTTTAACGACACCACACGTGTCATTAAATACGTCAATAATTTTTTTTTTCACTTTCATTGTAAACATGAATTTCACCCGTGATGAATTGTCCATACGATGAAATGTATTCACTGTATTCAATATCTTCTGTAATGGAATGAGATGAGGAATTGTTCCATATTGATGACTAGTAGAACCGAATAAATCGATGGATCAATTTGCATTTCACACCTCCAGATGAACAAATTTATGAAAGTATCAACGATTAAACTTCCCAATTGCACTGTCAATTTTGTATTCAATCAATCAGGTATCAGCTGGTCAACACATGCAGCTCACCGGTGATCTGAAGCCGGGAGTATCCGTGGCAGCGCAGCAGGGAATGTACTTCAATCAACAGCAGAACCAAAATCAAACAGGACCGAATGGTCAAAATGACACATACTGCTCGGTATCGCAATCGCAGACGATTAACTTTACACAACAGAGTTTGAGACAACGAGGGGCAGCTGGTGGTGGTGTACCTCAGGGGGCCCAGGGTGCACCAACTGGACGGGGTCATCCCCAGCAAGTGCCACCGGGACAAGTTGATCAGCATCAGCACGCAAAGTTACTCCAGCAACAGCAGCAACAGCAAATGCTTCGGGCTCAACAACAGCATGTAAGTTGTATCTGTAATTATAGTGATTAGGGGCATGTGCTGGATGGAGGAATTTTACAATTTTCAAACTGATTCAATCAACATATTGGCGAATACATATTTTCAAGGCAATTATTTATCGCCGTGAAATTATCTGCGTTTTAATTGCGGGGGAGAATTTTGTTCAACACAAAGGAATCGAGGTTTGAATCAACGGGGGTCATCGTACCTTCGGAATATTCCAATATTTTCAGCGTTGCAGGGGGAAAAGATGAGTGAATTTAGCAGGCAAGTGAAACGAGATGAATCAATTTTATACAGAGTTTGGCTTTTAATTTGGTGGAAATAGCTTTTTCGGATAAATTTAATTGTGTCTTGTAGAGTTGAAGATATTTATTTAGAATTTATTCTGAAGTCGAGTTGACTTATCTCATTTCACCACTTTGCTAGTGAATTAAGAAAATTGTGCTTAATTTTGGAACTGTTCTTTCTATTTACGAAGATGACGAGTCGTTTGTTGCCAAAATCCATTGACTGAGAAGTCTTCATCTGTATTTCAAAAAGTAGTGGAGCATATAGTATTGTTTTCTTTTGATTTAGGGTAGTGATTTTTTAAACTTCTCGTTAAGTTCTGAAAGCGAGAAAATTTTTCAATTGAGAACAAGGATACTGTTTCACTGTATTCATTTATTTATTTATTTATTTATTTATACCGTCTTACATGGTGGTACTCCCTATGACAGTGGGGGAAGCCAACATTCAAATTATGGAGTAAAGAGTAGAAGATAAAGGAAAGAATGATCTATTTCGATGCGAATGAGATGGAATTTTCACGAGTGCGAAGTTGGCGGCCCGTGGCGATGCCTCGGGCTGCCGATCACACGATCTGAAAATTCCCGTCTCACATGTGTCGAACAGTATTTTTTGACAGTGATTTTACGTTTAGCGAGTGGTCGAACTGTACTTTTTTTCGTTTACAAGTAAACGAAAAGACTTTTCGTTTACGAGTAAACAAAAAGGGATTTTTCAGCACGAGGTGAACTTAGCAGCAGTGTCAAAATAGTATATTATGCCACTAATGCCTGAAACCGGCTGGATTACACACTCGACGCTTCGCGTCTCGTGTCTAATTCAGCCGGTTTCAGGCTTCGTGACATAAAATTTTGTTCAGTACTTGTTGGGAAATTTCGTCCTTAACGTGTGTGGTTACATCACTCGCCTTCGGCTCATGCTGTAAACCCCACACACGTTAAAGACGAAATTGCCCCACACGTGCTGAAATATACTATTTCGTTACGAGTACGGAAAAGAGTTTTTTGGTTCGTGGGAGGTTTATAGCACGAGCCGAAGGCGAGCGATATAATCCCACGAGCCAAAAAACACTTTTCCCACGAGTATCGAACGATATTTTTCATCACAATGTGTGGAAAAGGGCTTCGCGTGCCTAAAAAGTTACTTTTTTGCACAGCGTGATGAAAAATTATATTTCTTACATTCGAGTGGCAGAACTTCTTAGAAATTTCTGTAAAGATGTGTCTCTATATTATAAAAATCTAAATCGACTTCTAGTGATGACAATTTGCTACTCGAAATCAAGACTCCAAAATTAAAGGTCAGAATAATCATGAGGGTTCAAATAAGGGTCGTGAGGGTCAAAATAAGGGTCAGAATAAGGATCACGAGGGTCATATGGAGGTTGGCAAGCGGAGGGAGCAGGGGGTCTAGCCCCCTAGTATGCTAAATAATAGCTAGAGTACAACAGTTCTTACTAAATCAGACTGAGCTGCACTTGAATATGACATAAGTACAAATTACGAGAATGTGATAACAAGGTTTTCAAATAATTCAAAAAGGTGCACAGCTATCAGCAATCACGGTATATCAAAAGCCATCATCGCGCGAATTTGGCAAAGACTACAGGAAGTTGATACTGCGTCACAGTAACAAAAAAAAGTTTTAGTTTTTCGTAATTGGAGAATTATTTTCTTCCTGTATTAAAAAAAATTGTGAAAAAAGTGGAAATACGCGTAATACGCAACAGGTATCCGTGCCCTCCTCTATCTTCGCAACTTTTGTTCCATTCAACTGAAAAGAAACGTGGGACTATAACCAAAGAGAGGAGGTCGCTTAAGGATTGACGTAAGCAATTTTGGCGGGAGTTTTTCACAAGAGTAAATTTTTTTATGGTCGAATGCCATGAAACTTTGGCAAAACGTTATTTGAACCATTATAAGATGATCGATCTATCGCTTAGCTCTTTGTCATATTCTCGATGTCAACTAAAACATAAAAAACCAAAAAAATCGATATTGACAATATGACGAAGAGCTGAGCGATAGATCGATCATTTTATAATAGTTCAAATAACGTTTTGCCAAAGTTTCATGGCATTTGACCATAAAAAAATTTACTCTTGTTAAAAAGATGCTTACGTCAATCCTTAACGCCATGAGTACGAAGGGGAAGTGGTCGCTGATACAATGAATGAAAACTTCTTTTCACATCCAGAGGAGAAGTGAAATTGAGAGAGAGTGAGTGAGAGAGCACCGGGTGCGTAAACTTCCTGCAGGAAGTAGCGATATCAGCCGGTTCAATGCCACCACTCCCTCCTCGTTCAATGGCCCTCCCGTCTACCTTTTCTCCGTAATTTGTCGGTTATTATAATTCATTGTTGCATTTATTTTCTAACGCCAATGTTTTTTTTATTTGTTTTTCAAGGTGATGCAACATCAGCAACACATGACAGGGGGAATGGCGGGGGTGAGACCACCACCTCCAGAGTACAAAGCGGCACAGGCGCAAATGATTCATGCTGGCATTGGGATGGGTCAACAAACGAGATTCCAAAATGCTGGGCCTATTCGCAGGGTAGCACAACAACCAATGCCTCCGTCTGGTGAGTTTCCACTTGAACACTTAATTTCCCCGCATTCCAGTTGTGAAGTGGTTAAACGAGATAAGTCAATTTCACTCGGACTTTTGCTTGATAAGGTTTTGTTATGCACGCGCTATCAAGGAATTCATTTTTCAAATTGATCGTTCGGTTGTTGCATAAGTTTATTTCATTGAATTGAGTCGCGTGCTGAGTGGAAAAAGGTCGTATTTATCATTTTGGGATTTTTAGGTCAACGAAGTGGAAAAAAGTCGTATAAACGTAATCTAGGGAACATGAGATCTGGACGATTTGGGCTCTCCAGAATCATTTTAAAACAACTTTTGAGGACATTTTTTTGCGCATAAAAATGTTAGTCTGAAAAATGTTTCTGAAAGAATCGAAAATATATATTTTTTAAATAGTTTAAGGATTATTTTTCTGTCTATTTTACATGAATGGCGCCAATTTTCATTTTAAACACAAGACAATTAGCTGTGTTTGCAAAAAACTAATTCGTTGTTATTATTATTGCACACATTTTTGCAAAAAAAAAAAATAAACCTCCCTATTTTCAACATTTTATGCGCGTGGGGGGAAATTAAGAATAACAAATAAACAATTAATTTGTTTGCACTAATTATTTGTTTTTAGACATATATAATCGATCTTTGTTGTATGAGAGATCTCACTCCGATCGCCCGCGACTTTGAAAACACAGTAATCTCCCCTTAACAAGAAATCGATTTCATACCTAAAAAAATAAACTTTCTCAAAGTTTAAACAATTTCAATGATTTATTTATAAACAAAGAATGTTTAAAAAATGATCCTTCTGTGCAGAATGTAATTTGAATGACGCAGAATATTCATAATTGTTTCTAAATTTTTCTCGCTCAATTAAATTTACTAAATTGATTATTGTAAATGGTTGATACCAAGCTATAAAAGATACTTGGATATTCTTAATGTCCACTGAAATGTGAAATTTCATCATTTTTTTTCAATTCAAACGGAAAATTCCCGAGTCAATCCAATCCCCTCCCAATACAAATGAAATCGCCGATTAACCCCCATAATTTATTTCCGAATGATCAATAGGCCCCATGATGAGGCCGCAAATGGCCCAGCAACAGCAACAGCAGGCTCTACACGCGGCTGGTGGAAATATGTACATGACGAGCGGTGGTGCTGCACCGGGTGGTGGAAGTGGTGCAGGCGGAATGGCAGCGATAGGTGGAATGCATCAAATGCACCAGAGACTAAGTTATCCAAGGACCAACAACCAACGGCCGCCTAATGTCAGCGTTGGACCACCCGATGGTCTTGGAAATAGTATTGCTGGTCGTGGTGCACAACAGGAATGGCGTCATCTACTGATGCAACAGCAGGGCTTTCAGCCACAGATGCAGGCACGACCGCAGTTTAATCAACAGAGTCATCAAGGTAATTTCATTTTATTATTTTTTATAAAATATTCCATTTGCGCATCGCGTCACAAGTTTTGCGCTGCATTATTTTATTGCATTATTTTACAATTGAATGAGGATCATTAAATATTAGAGAGTAAATTCTATTTTTGCTTTCGAGTGGAGGCTTTGTCATTGTTCAAATTTAAGTTTTGTTGAGTCCTATCCATTGACATCAATTGAAATTTAATTTATATTCATTTTTAGAATTTTCAATTTTTTTCAAAAATCGGTTGTTCCTCGACAAATAAAAAAAATGTTCTGAATTAATCGCATGATGACTTGAAAAAATTGTTTTGATGTCTTTTTCATCAAGTTGTTTGTTTTTTATAGTTGTTTTGATTTATAGAATAATTTTTCAAAATCTCGTATTTTTCGAAAATGAGAATTCGAAAATATCTTTGGATATCATGCTTCAAATTGATTCATTCTTAGCTGAAAATATTTGTTTGAATGCCTGTTGAAGTTAAAACACTATGACGATAGTCATATTTGTTGATTTGATTTTCACGATGATTTTTGGGAATTTCTAATTTTTTTGGTCTCGTCAAATATGATGTTTCAAATTCACTCAGTGTCGCGGAGTTGATTGAACTACTGACCTGTCTAAATTTTTATTACCATTGTCACAATGAATTTACCCAGGTGGCTTTGGCATGGGCAACACGGGTGGAATGCAAATGAACGCAGCCCAGATGCAACACCAACAGCTAATTCGATCACAGAGCGGTGGAATGGGCGGTGGCAGTATGGGAAACAATTCTCAGATGCAACAATTACTCACTCAACAGCATCAGCATCAAACTCTGGCAATGCAGCAGAGCAACAATCAGATGTCTATGCAGATGCAAATGTCCCAATCCTCGTCTGTTAGTTCAGTATCGACTGCTGGAACTGGTATGTTCTTTCATCAAATTCACTTTGATGTTCTTTTAGGGCAAAATAATCCATTCCGCACTATGAATTTTCTATACAATGTTAGAAAGTGATTATTGAAATTTTAGGTAAAAAAATGTAAAATATTTAACGGGAATTATACATAAAAAATTAGATTTTTTTAAAGACAAAAATGTAGTCGTCTAAGCAATTCTATTAGAATTCTATCAAAATTCTGTTCAGAATTTTATTTTATTTTTTATAGTGATTTCTACTAAAAATGAATTTTGATTTTTATATGTAATTCATTTTTCTTGAATTTCGTAATAAAGAACACAAAAATATATAGGAAAAACCTTGAAAAATTTATGTTCAAGAATTTCTATAGATGAAAATCTCAAGAGAATATTTCATCCAAAAAAATGAAAATCTATTGACTTTTCTTAAATCAAATATCTATTAAAAAATTGCAAGAATTCTAGTAGTTTCAACAGAATTCTTATACTGTTCCATAATTTCTCTCATTAAAAACTCCAAAATTTGTGAAAAATCAGGCGACTATTTTTCCTCGTTCTCCATCTATTCACATTTTAATTCAGTTTAATCCGAAATCCCCTAATAGAATAGTTTATCTTATGCATTCCCATTTTATGTGAATGATATATATTCACAGACTTAAACTTTACAATATGCCGTTCTAAGTTCACAATCTGTGTCTGGAATTGTCCAAGTCCATATCAATGCATCATTAAGTGCAATAAAACAAATGCAATGGATTATTTCGCCTAGAAAACTTGATCTGAATGTCTGAATACGAATTCACCTGAATATTTTAACAATGTTACCAGGATCACCAATGCATCCACACCAGCAGTACGGTGGTGGTAGTCCAGGTGTAAGAAATATACCTCAACAACACAGTCAACCGGCTACCACAGCATCGGATCCATCAGTAGCAGCTGCTGATTTTAGCCTGGAATTCCTTGAGAATTTACCTGCTGGTGATACGTCAAACTTCAGCGCCCAAGAGCTACTAAATTCCCTCGACTCAACGGCAGGTTTCAATCTCGATATACTATAAACGAAGAGTAATAAAATTCTAGACTATCTCAAAGTAAATTAATGAAATATAACAAATATTCATACTGACCGGATAGGTTGTATCGATTTGAGACCACCGAGTGTGTCTAAGGCAGGCTGTTATATACTAGGCAATCACACTTTAGTCAATTTTATCTTTTTTTATCTCTCATTTTCTACGTAGCAACTACAGGAGGGGGGTGAATAGGTGGAAGGCAAAGGAGAGGGCACAAGCGACTACAGTATGATAAGTTTGGGGGAAACTACTGGGAGTTTTGCGAGTCCCGGGCTATTTGAGTGACATCTCACACGTTACAGATCGATTATATGCGTATAAACACAAAGAACTAGTGCTAAGAAATTGATTATTGGTTCGTTTGCCCAGCAGAACCTTAAAATGTTAGAAATGGCCCAGTATTTTCTCAAAATTGTTCAAAAAACAGCTGTAGGATAATAGCTACAAATTACTTTTGTTTTACTTCGAACTCTGAATAGCCAATTTCGTTTTTGTTCAAATAAGAAATTGCAGTATTTGTGAAAAATAGTTGGGAAATGTATTTTTTAAATATTTATAGGGGTGGGTGGGGCAAGATGGACACTTGATTTTTTTTGCAATTTTCAAAACTCATAAATTTGCTAGAGATCGAAACTGAAAAAAGTAAAATTGCCAGTCAATGTATGAAAATATTTATAGGGGAGGGTGGGGCATGATGGACATTTGATTTTTTGCAATGTTGATAACTCAGGAATTAATTCTTCAAGGATTGTACTTTCCATTGTAGAAAAAATTATTTCTTTCCATGAAAAATTCAATGGGTCATTAGCAGTTGAAAAAAAAAAAAAATTATACCCCCAATTTTTCCTATTTGTTTCAAATATTTAAAAAAATTAAGAAATGAAAAACCCACATGATTATTCAAACACCAACGGAATCGGCTAAAAATCGAAATTTAAAAAACTAGAAAGAAAACGCGGTGGGGTGATGAGTAACCCCAGTGCACCCGTAGAGGGGTAATGTATGAGAAAATTCACCGCAACAGCTCAGGACCGTCAAAACTCGCAGTAGTCTCCCCTGAAACGGCAAGTGCACAATGATTCCTTTTGAAATGTAAAAATAATGCAAAATTTGACGATCGAAGTGGAGACACTTGATATTATCATCAAATTCCCTTGTAACCGCTTATTCCCTCTGACTCTCTGGGCATATGAGAGTACCTGTGTCGACGATGCTACTTCGACGGGTACTCTACTAATGCAACTCTTCCGTTAACGTTTCTTTTTTCCCCACTTTTTCTTTTCCCCTTTTGTCTCGAGTTTTCATACCGAGCCACCACGTCTCACAGTAGCTAGGATCGTATAAATAAATAATGAAGAATCGTGTTACTTATAACTATTGATTTACAACAATGAAAGAACATTTACATCCTACAATGATGAATTTTTGTTCTGAATCGTCCTCAGTACTGACGAAATCCAATGAAATGTGACAAATTTCATATTTACTTTTTGTCTGTAAACAAAAGTATCGGGGACTGGTTCGTGTACTATTACAAGAAAATATATAGTAACTATCATAGGAGAATATTTGAATGACGCGTGCGCCGTAACGTGATCACTAAATATATTAAGTTAAGATAAAGTCAATTATAGGAAACACTTGAGAGGATTTAAAAATTATGAATTTCTTTTCGTTTTACAACTGAATACAGACGTACGAAGAAAAATCGTATAAAAACCTAGAGAATCCGCTAAAAAATTCTACTGGAAAATATTGTATAGAAAAAATCAATAGAATCCCATTTTCTATGCGACACATTCTATTGAGATATTCTTTATAGAAATTCCTAGGCCTAAATTTTCCAAGTTTTCGTCTGATTTTTTGAATGAAAGAGGAAGAAAAAATTGAGCAGAAAAAACTTAGAAAATTCTTGTCGAGGAGTTCCTTTAAAAAATATCGCAATCAAAAAAGTTGTGCAGTAATACAAAACATAAAATAATTTCTATCAGACATTTTCTATACTGAAGAAGTTTAATCGTGAAAATTCTGCTATTAAAAGAATTTTCAACAGAACCAATAGACTTTTCTATCGAATTCACTACGTTCTCGTAATAATTTTTTCGTGCGCGTACTGCTGCGAGTTTCTTGCCGAGAATGAATAAACCCAACAGACAAACTAATTAAATGAAACCGAAATCAATAAACTTGTCACGTATGGTCTAGAACGTTTAAACGAAAAAAAAAAGAAAATTAAATCTGTAAATACGTATAAAAAGTAAGTAGCAAGTTTATCGAAAGAAAAAAGAAACCTAATTTACATTTAGGTTGAGATAGAGAGTGAATATCATCAGGGTGATGGTGAAAGAGTAAATTATTGTTGTCCACTCGATGCGATAAAACGCATTTGACTACTCTTCCATAATTTATTTAAAAGCCCTCGAATGCGTTGTCTCGCTAACAATATAGAACAGAGTGGCAATATCAACCGTCATTTTGGGCAGCTTCCACTCTCGGCACAACGAACTATTCTTCCTGACTCGCAAGCACTGCGTAATAAACAAAGACCATTTGTGTTTACTCGTTTGACATCTCTTTTTACGTTTTATTCTCCATGGGGAGAGGGGGGGGATTAAAAATGCAAAATAATTCTCTCTATTTTCTGCATTCAGTGGTGAATTGTCTCCATGATACGTTGGCTAAACCCGAATACGTGTTGTTAATTTATCCTCCGTCAACTAATTTAGGTATAAATTAATGAATTCCCTGGTCAGTTCGATGTCGCCGTTGAGTGACGGATCTGCAATGCGGCTAAATCTTCCCAAAAAAAAACAAATACGATATATACATTCCATGGAAACCCACTGTGGGTCTCTTGCAATCAAAAATATGTCTCGTTTCATAGTTAAAATGAAATACACAAGAAAACACATCGACTTCAAACAATAGTACTACATGAAACTAGACCTAGAATTATTGGAGAATTGTTGGATAGAGTGAAATGAAAAGAAAAAACATAGTTTATATTATCTAATTATCGATTATGAATCTGAGGGTTAAATGGATTGAAATAAGTTATCGAGTTGCAACAGTATCCACGTGAGCCACTGGTAGAAACTTAAAATGACAATTGTGTAATGTGCGATCTTTAATTATTGTCTTTTGTAAAATATTGGGGCCACGAAACATAATCTTACGACGATAAGGAACTGATTAACAAAATGATTAAAAACATAATGTGAAGTTAAACTAGAATTTTTTGAGGATTAATGAGACAGGTGCTCTGATTCTCATGTCAATCTAGAGTTAATGTAAATCAAAAAAACAGGGGATAAGAGCATAGTTGATCGAAGGTGACTAGCTACTCGAAATTCATTGTTTGATGCTTCAGGATGATTGAGGATGGGGTGAATTTTTTTTTAGCATTTCTCACGTGAATATTGACATTATGAACATAATTAAAAGTGGAGACTTTCAGTTGAGCATAGGGGACCAACGTTAATGGCAGGTGCTTTCATCGAATGTTACAGTGGATCGTGATTTATTCTATTGTACTAACGATATTCTTTTTTATTCTAAATTTTCCTCTCTGTTACGTTAATGATGGTATTATTATTGGATGTAAAGGTGGAAAAAACTATAGCCAATTATTTATAATATTTATAATTTTATATACAATGGTGAAAAAATAATCTGGGCATTCGTGTATAGCATTAAAGAATGTTGAACATTAACCTGTTATGAGAAATAAAAATACGTTGATGCTTTTTACTCACGTGAATCGAGTTGTTTTTTTCAAAATGCTGATTTTTTTTTTAATCATACGATTGTCATTGTCAGTGGTGATTTCATTTTGTCTTGTTTACGCGATTCATCATAATGCAAAGTGGGTAATGTCGACTTGGGTGGCAAGAGCCGTCTGACGGTTGTGCTTCGGGTAGAGGGGAGGAGGATCAATATCACGGTCAGGGAGAAGCTAGAACCGAAAATAGGAGTGCAGAGGGGTCGGGAAGAGAGAGAGAGAGGAATTACGTGAGGAAAATCCTTGGGAAAATTCTGACACCTCAGATGATGGGGCGTTGAGTTATTCAAGTCTTTCAATATTTTAATGAACGATCCACTGTGCCTCATCGATTTCACATGAGTCGTCTCTTAGTGACGGACAGGTATAAATTTAGAAAAAAGAAAATTAGTTATGGAATGGGCAGGACAAAATTATGCGGACAACCTAATGGATTCGTTGGAAAATTGTATTGGTTTTCTTTTTTTTTATTTCCATTAAAAATTCTGCTATTTTCTTAGCAGATTTTTTAGCGGTTTATCTTTCTATACAGCGTATTCTGTTGACGATTTTTTAGGGAAGTATTCGTAGACATCGCGTGTGGAAAAATTCAATAGAAAAACCTCGCGCTTTCTTTGAAAATCCTGGCGAATTTGTGTTGGAACTGTAGAATTTTGTCGGAGTTTTGTTCACATTCGATTCAATAATTCAATCGGTTTTTGGGATAGTTGATGAAAAACGTCAATAGATTTTTATTTTTTTGCAAGAATTGCAAAGCATAAATTTTCAATTTTTTTCCGCTGTTTTCATTCGTTTCTCATAACGAAATCCAAGAAAACAAATTGGGAAACGCGTACCCAATCATTCTTTCATTCTTACGGCAAAAATCCGGAGAGAATGAATTGTCTAGCAAAATCTATAAATTTTTCCCATGTTTTTCCTATATTTATTTTATTAGAATTCTACTCCACTAGGATTTTAATGCAGTTCAATACAATTTCTCAGAGAAGATGCAAAGTTTTTCAATTAAATATTTCCATACGTGATGACTATTTTATTTTTTCCTTGAGCCAACATACACAACATGAAGAACTAGATAAATTCGTGCCTATCAATTACTCAAAAAAATCAAAATTTCGATAGAAAAAAAATTGCTGTTTTTCGATTAAAATATAAAAAAACGAGTAGAATTTTCAAACGAATACATAGCAATAAGAATTCTTCCCATCGAAGAATTTTCTCCTGCGTGTTCTCAGCTAATTTACTCAATAAAAAAACGACCAGAACAGGCTGAAATTTTTACCATACGGCCTTTTGCTACGGGATTTACTCAGCAGCAATCAAGAGCATAACTCAACATTATGTATTTGTAATTACGGAGAGGGGTAAATTCTCAGTGCTGGCTCAACATTACCACACGATCGATCGATACATCTCGCCCGTTGTATCAGTATTTCTGCATGAATAGGGAAATTCTTTTTGCTGCCTTGTAAATATGATTGATTGATCCAAGAGAAGAGTGAGAGTCGAGAATGATGATGAATACACGTGATCGTAATTTTCTCGTTTGGTATCTCATCGTTCCACCTACCCCGCAGTACCCAGAGCTCTATGAATCCCCAAAAATCATCGATTTCTAACTTTTTCAATAATTGTGATATATAGTTATAAATAACGATAGGAAATATAGCCTTCATTTATTCCCACCGGCTGAAACCCGGGAAGTTCGCCGTAATTGGAATTTATATACTTTTTTTAATACCAGGAAAGGGATAAAATTAATCGTGAAAATTTACGAACACGTGTACACCCAACGTATCATGGTATAAAGTTATAGAACGATTTAGAACGGGGAGGGGAGGGCGTTAAAATAAATAATAATTAAATGAATAAACGAAAGCGCGAGGATAGTCTGTAAATACCAGCATTACGTTATTATTTATGTTGCTAATGTGAATGAAGAGGCAAATATGGTACAGAAGTATAGTAATAACTAAATGAATTAAAAACTTTTAATGAACTAATGGTTAATGATACACAGTGTGTACATAAAAGTGGCTGTACAGACCACAACTGAATCAGGATTACTTGTCGAAGCAATTTCTTTCTTCTTTTTTTCATCAATTTTATCACTAAGTACATATAACATTACTTATCATTATTGTTATTATTTGGCTGATGATCTCACCGAGAAAACGAAAATTCTAATGTCGTACAATGTTATTGTCATGAAAGAAAAAAAGGGGGCGCTTCATTTTGACGAGTAAAACAGCCCTTTCGAACGAATGTGTGATTTTCGTTCAGAGGGAAATGTAAAAACGCATTATCAATCTATTCAGAAGAAAATTTTTCATCGTGCCTATATAATGCATTATATATTTTTTCGCATTACGTCGTTATGTGTATAATTTATATTCGAAGTACAGCGCATTCCAAAAAAACGAATAAACAAAAAAAAACAAGGATAACAAAACGTTTCTTCTAGTTTTCTTTTTTTTCTATTTTTGGGTTCACTACCTATTGTTTAAGCTTTCTGAAAATGAATTAACATTTTTTTATTACTCGGGCTGATGTTGAAAATACCCTGAATGAGTTGGAAATATTAAGTTGTATTATTAAGTTATTGAAAATGATGGAAAATCAGATTATTCAGGATTAGATCGGTTAATATAATTAATGAAGAGAAATATTGAAAATTAATACGAAAATGATAAATTGAGAACAAAAATCAGTTGACAATTTTAATTACAATTGAAGGACAAAATGAAATATGTATCAGTGGAAAAATTATTCACAAAACAATGTTTTATTGTACGAGAGTCGAGACATTTTTTCATGTCTTTGTATATTTTTATGCAATGTTGTAGAAATAATATTGTTTCAAATATATTATACAGATAATGATTATAACAATAAACGAATTTATATGCGATTATTTGGTTTTTTGATTGTGTGTTATCATTCCTGAATATTTTTAGTCTTCTTCGTTAAGGGGAGATTTCTCATATATTGAAGATCGATTATATATGTCTAAAAATGAATAATTAGCGCAAAAAAATTAATTGTTTATTGTTCATTTGCCCCGCAGACGCTTAAAATGTTGAAAATAGTCCAGTGCCTCTAATTTTTTTTTCAAAATTGTTGAAATAATTTGTGCAATAACAATAAGGAATTAAATTGCACACTCTACGCAAAACAGCCCGAAACACATTTCAGAAAGAATCAACAAAATATTTTTAATATTTTAAGGATAATTTTTCTGTTTAATTTACATGGATGGTGAAAAGTTTTATATTAAACAAAACGAAATCAGCTGTGTAGGATTCGAATTTCGAATAAATAATTCGTAATTGTAAAAAAATACCTCTGTAGATAAAAAATTGGGGGCTTTGGACTATTTTTAACATTAAGCGTCTGCGGGACAAATGAACAATAAATAATTAATTTTTTTTGCGCTAATTATTCGTTTTTAGACAAATATAATCGATCTTCAATGCATGAGCAATCTCACTCCAATAGCCCACGACTTTTAAAACTCATAGTAGTCTCTTGAATTCCGGAAGTTGTCGGGCTGACGGAAATATGACGCCCTCTGGCGGATTTCCTGGGACTTGTTCTTTCTTTCGTGAATCCCTCACCAGAAAGAGGAATAGCGTGAGTACTCCACAATTTTATCATTTATTTCCTATTATCCGCATTAAAAAACACGGTAAGAAGTGGATAAAATCCTTCAATTAATTTTTTTCTGCATGAAGCCGTTGGGGGTTTACGGATTTTGAGTTTTCCATATGTAGAGGCGATGCCACGTGCAGGGAAGAGAGGTTAGGCGGTCCCTGTCATCACTCCAAACCCTCCAAGAATAAACGATATTCTTCCTAGATTATACAAATCAGTAGTCAAGTGTTAAAGGGAGATAAGTTAACTTATCTCCCAGTTAAGTTTTTAAGGAATATTTCCGAATCTAAGGGCGATGGCGAAATTTTCGTAATTACATTTATCGTAGCACTCAATCGGCTCCACAAAAAAGGTTATAACAAAAATGTTGCTATCTCCCTTAGATTCCGAGATATTGTTTAAAAACTGGTCAACAGTCAAAATTGACTTATCTCCATTTACCACTTCGCTACTGAAATTTTTGTTTTATATTCCTTTTTAAAAAGGTATAATAAAGATAAAGGGTATATAAAAACGTATGATAGAAATGGAAAATTAAAAAAATATCTTCTTTTAAAGAGATAAAAAAGATTTGTATAAGCCAGGCTCTTCACCAAAGATTAACTAATGAGTGGATTCTGTTCTGGATACTTTATGGAACAATTAAACTACTTGTGACATGAAGCAATCATTTAATGTAAAATAATATAATTCTAGCTGTAAAAAGTCATGCTGGAAACGTGACATTAAATTATATGTTCCTTTGATTGTTTATTGTTACATTTATTATTTTCAAAAATAAATGAAAGGATGAAAAATACAATGAACCACTAGCTGAAGTAGTCGCAGAAACGAGAGAGCTCACTCGAGTATAAATAAGTCCTCTTTACATCTTCTCTTAAAATCACTCGTTCTTAGAATAATTGGATGATCGATGATAAAGTTAAATTCGATCTTGCTAAAGCCATTGTTCTCTCATTTACCACCAGAATGGCGGACGCAGCTCCAGCCGCTCGTGGTGGATTCCGTGGTGGATTTGGCAATCGTGGAGGTGCAGGTGACCGTGGGGGTCGTGGAGGCCGTGGGGGACGTGGTCGCGGCCGAGGCCGTGGACGTGGTCGTGGAAAGGAGGACCAGAAGGAATGGATCCCAGTTACCAAGCTGGGACGTCTGGTCAGGGACGGAAAGATCCGCTCCCTCGAGGACATCTACCTCTTCTCCCTCCCCATCAAAGAGTACGAGATCATTGATCAGTTCATTGGGCCATCCCTGAAGGATGAGGTTCTCAAGATCATGCCTGTCCAGAAGCAGACTCGTGCTGGTCAGCGTACTCGATTCAAGGTAAATCGACTTCTTTCTTACCTTTAACATTTCACCATTATGATTCAACTTATTACCGCAAGTAATACCACGAGAGCTTCAAAATTATCGAGCACTTCTCGATAGGTTCGTTGCAAACAAACGAAGGAGTCAAGTTCTTCAGGTTAAAAAATCACGAGTGCGAAGCACGAGTCATTTTTCCTGAAAAACTTGACGACGAAATATAGTCAACATGAAAAATTACCAGTTGAATTATCAAAAATTATCAGCTGAATACCGTATTGACTATATGAAATAACAGTCGACTAGTGCAATTCTATTGGCTGACATTTGGATGAGGAAAATTTCCAACATAATCCAACAATGGGGGTTTACATGACATTTGTTTACTGTTGAATATGAGAATTTAATGGAAAATATTAGAAAACCAGCACATGTTGATGCCTTTCCATCTTTTTTCCTGTCAGATTCGATATCCCTTTGTTCAATTAATTGTTTATAATCATTCTCGTTGCTAAAGCAATACGACTGAAGAGAATCATATGCTCCAATTTATAAGCTGTTAAATTTTTAGTTTACAATAATAAATCAATCGCTCATGATTTCAATCGCAATTTCAGTTCAGTTCCTTCTAGAACACATTTTAAAATGTGAATATTTGGAATTCATCGATTGTTGATACTTTAGTAAAAGCGCGTGCTCATACCTTTTATTCATTTGATTTATTTATTTACTGTCGTATACAGATCCTATAACCCACAGGCTAATTATAGAGTCAAAAAAACACATTGGATATTCACAGAATATTACATATTTATAGAATACCAGTTTCAAGAATAAATTAACTTATGTAGATCAAGATCAGGATGATAAGGTTAGATATAAAATATATAAAAAATATTTACTGAAAAACACATGTTAAAATTGCATTATTTTCAATGAAATCAATCGATAAAACGACTAGAATTCTCATAAACTTTCACTAGAAATTCAATGGAATGTCTATCGATTTTTTTCAAATGTCTGAATCGATTGACAAAATATGCCTTATGACGTCACGCCTGAACATCCCAATTCATCGCTGGAATGTTTATCAGTTTCAAGAATAACTTAACATATCTAGATTAACATCAAGGTGACAAGATTAGATATGTCAAAAAATATCTACCGAAAAACGCACGTTAAAATTGCATAATTTTCAATAAAATTAAACAATAAAACGACTAGAATTTCTTAATAGAATTCTTATAAGCCTTCACTATAAATTCAATAGAATTGCTATTCAATTTTTTCATATGCGTTTTACTGGATCGAAGATATCTGCATTATGACGTCACGTCTGAACGTCCCCATTCATCACTGAAATGTTTATTAATGTGGTGATCACCCCGAAAATCACTGCTTCACCAAAAACATTTTTATTTCAGGCATTCGTAGCCATCGGAGACAGCAACGGTCACATTGGTCTCGGTGTCAAGTGCTCCAAGGAAGTAGCCACCGCCATTCGTGGCGCAATTATCCTCGCCAAGCTCTCAGTGGTTCCAGTGCGTCGTGGATACTGGGGTAACAAGATTGGTAAGCCCCACACTGTGCCGTGCAAGGTCACTGGCAAGTGTGGATCCGTTCAGGTGCGTCTGATCCCAGCCCCCAGAGGAACTGGTATCGTCTCAGCCCCAGTCCCCAAGAAGCTTCTTCAGATGGCTGGTATTGAGGACTGTTACACATCAGCACGTGGCTCCACCTGCACACTTGGCAATTTCGCCAAGGCCACGTACGCTGGAATCGCCAAGACCTATGCCTACCTCACCCCAGACCTGTGGAAGGACATGCCTTTGTCTGAGGCCCCCTACCAGGAACATGCGGACTGGTTGTCCAAAAATCACAGACCCGTTACTGGCCAACGGGCTGCCGAGGTTGTTTAAGACGTTTCAATAAATTGACACTGAAGACCATGATTTTTGTCCTGTTTTAACCTTTTTATTCCTTTTGAATATAGCTGGGTTGTGGGAGGAGGGAGAATAATAGAGGTGTGACGTGGGAGAAAATATGTGTACGTCCACGTGAAAAGGGCCCACTTTGTCGCATCTAGCTTCCGAGATATTCACGTTTTTCTCTCCACATCTCACATTTAAGGGTGCCAAGTGAATTTGAAAAAAGATTCAAAAACATTTTTTCTTTCCCTCCATCATTGGAGAAATATGTATTCATCCATCCGACGAAATTTCAAATCCGCAACCGGAACTAGACATCGAAAAAATAAATGCGGAAAATCCTCTATTTCGCGTGACGAGTCTCGAGAAAGCATGGGATCAAATGGGTACGGCGGGTTGAAATATCTCTCTTATTCACCCCGGTACCCCATTGTTTTTTGTGACCATCACATTGAACACATCATTCCCCATCTTCGAATTTTTTCAAATTTTTCTTGAGTTCCTAGGGGGTTGAAACGTTCAATTTAATCAAAACTCCATAAGAGGCCGTGTATAAGACTGATTTTGTTTATTTAATTTCTCGATATCCATAAGTTCTAAAATTTTAAAATTGTCACCGATGTTCACCATCTGTCTAATACTATTAATTAAAAACATTATAACTTTGTTGGTGAATGTCAATTTTCAAGGTCATCGCCAAATTCACTTGGCACCCTTAAACCAATGTTAAATTGTGTAAATAGAAATAATAGAAGAATGGAGTAAGTTTAGTTTTTACTGAATTAAGCAATTTCACAAAATTTTTCAATAGATGTTTGATGACCCAAAATCCAAAGATTTTGATTTTTTATGCACCATTCTCTTGCGATTTTTCTCAAAAATCTTGTGCTTACATTTTTTATGGAATTTCTTGTCCCTCGTTACAGAATCCAAGAAAAAAATTATGTAAAAGAATTCTTGCAGAACAAATCTCTACAAAATAGCTGGGTACTGGAGGGAGGGAAATAATGAAGGTCTTTTAAAATAAAAAAGTCTATAAAAATATAAATAACAGAGGCTATATTTGATGTGGAGTATGTGGAGTACATTTTCGATGGAAAATTTAACTTAATTACGCAATTTCACGATAGATTTTTGAATAAATGTTCGATGTTCAAAAATCAATACATTTGATTTTCTATGGATCATTCTCTTGCAATTTTTTCTCATAAAGAATCTTGCGCATACATTTTTAATGCCGTTTTGTTTGCTCCTCGTTACAGGATCCAAGAAAAAAATTCTTATAGAACAAATCTCTACAAAATTCAGTACTATCAGCATCTATTGACTTTTCTTTTACAGATAGAATAACGAAAAGAACTTTATTTTGTCTGCGTGTGATTTGTCCAGAGTATGATGGTAAAATAATTAACGAAACGTCACAGAATAACAATTAGATTAATGGTGTTTGTCTTTTCTTCAACGAAATTGTTTGAATCATTAAGGGACAGCAGGCAAAACCCCCAAGACAATTTTGCTCTCAATGGAAATAACGTTACACATTTTTATATCTCCGGAAACTGGTCCTGAGTGTCCGGAAACTACGGCTTTCACGATGTCATATTCAAATATTAGATTATTTTTTATTCAGTCGAGGTTGACGTTTGTTGGAATGCCTCCCAGGCCCGTGTGAATGTTTTAGTCGTGTGTTCGCACAGTTTCTCGACGTCCTCCAGCCCCTGTCTGAGTGCATCCACAGCTCTTCCTTTCTTCATCTGTATCCTGAAGTGCATCTTTGCTTCTGAGGGATGAGGCACCGTATAACCACAAAATTGGACGTCGGGACTGCAAGTGGACGTCACGACAACAATTCAAATGTAATTCAGCTATTTCACGATGAAGAAAATCATTTTCATTCTTCACCGATTATTTAGTGTTTAATTAATGAACTCACTATTGCGAGATGACAGAACGCAGGACGTTCCCCAGCGTGTGGCCCTCATCGTGGAATACAAAAGTGCGGGATTTTTCACCGGTCGCCTCGTCACCTGCAATCTAATGTGCAATTTTAAGTTGAAAAAGCGCAAATTATTTTTTAGTTTCTTAAACTCACTGTTGCCAGTCGTCCCATGGTGGTGATTTATTTACTACAGATGTTACTCCGATTGTAATTTTGACTCGTGGAGAATATAAACAACCACACGTGCACTCCGATCACGGTGATCACGTGGGTCTGGCTATTTTTAAAGCGGAAGGGCAGGTGGCGCCGGAGGATATTTCAAAATTACTTCAGATGGATTCAAAATAGGTCTGAGAATTATTTTGCACGCATCTTTGGATGCAAGAGATTTAGGAGAATTCGTGACAAAATTGTTATTGTGGAGAATTCAGGGGGCATGAAAAATTTTTTTTTCTCATAATTTGTTCATTTCAGAAATATTGACGAAATAATCTGGAGTCAATTCCCTGAATCGTCTTCTGTGTTCGATCGACAATTTGAATTGGGAAGGAAGGAGGTCTTTTTTCCCCCATTAATTTCAAAGATAATACAATTTTAAAAAGTGGGAAATAAAAATAAAGAATTTCCATGGGAAGGAAAGGAAAATGAGGAAGGATGGCGCCAGAGGAAATTGGAAAATTACTGCAGATGTATTCACAACAGATCTGTGGATTATTTTGCATTTATCTTCAGAAGCAAACGATATAAAGGAATTTGTGAGATATTTGTCTTCACACCGTCCGTAAAACGTCGTTTAGGGACATTGTGAAGAAAAATTATATTCGTCATTAGGGCGAAAAGAACTTTTCTGACGCGTGTGATTGAATTCCTCGGCTTCGTCTCGGTCTGCAACCGTCACACTCGTCAGAAAAGTTTTTCTTCCATGTGACGAAAACAGCTATTTATTATGGAGAATTTAGATGGCTTGAAAAAATTTTTTCTCCTTCTCCGAACTTGTTAGCTTGTATAGACATTCACAAAATAATCTGGAGAAAAATCTTCGAAGAGTCTTCCGTGCTTAATTAAAAATTAAAATTGGAACGAGGTTTGAAATACTTCATGGCAACAATTTTTTCAGAGGATTCAAAAAGTTGTAAAATTTTCTTTTCAAATATTTTTTCTTCCATTAGTTTCAAAGGTATTGGCGAAATAATGAGGATCAATGTTTATAATAACTACATTTTTAGGGGATTCAGAAGGAAGAAACAGCTTTTGATGATTTACGCCGTTAAAAGTTGGTAAAAGTAAAAGTTAATAGTTCCAATAAACATATTTCCTATCGATTTCCCGCTGAATCCACCTTTCAAAGCTATTTAAAGAATAATCCGCGCACAATTTTCCGAAGTACCTCTTCTTCCTCACATGAAGTCGAATGCGGAAAGTCTTCAAAACGATATAAAAATGTCTGTTGAATACCTCTAATTCTATGAATTATCGAGAACTTCAAAATAATCATAACCAATATTCTCGAGTCATCTTTCATTACTCCCCCCTTCCACCCCCTCAAAATGAAAATCAAACAAAAGAAACCCGTACAAATTAGTTAACAAATCCCTTCACACGAACCATCAAACCGTCAAAATTCTAGTAAAATGTTTTCAACCCCTTGAAAATTCTCCACTAAACCTGAAACCCCCAAAAACCATGTATTAATAAAAACCCAAAATTGTCTCTAAAAACCGCTGTGCCGAGTCTCCACTGTAAAAAGTATGTTGAAAATAATTTAACCCCCCCTCTTGTGAGTGCCCACCATGGCCGACCGGACCCCCGGGCAGAGGGGTCGTCGCCCCATCGACTCGCGGACGGTCACCCGCCCCCGGAAGACGAAGAGTCAACTCTTGCGGGAGGCGAAGAACGTGGCAGTGGTGCTGCCGGAGGCCAAAGCGGCGAAGCCTCGGGCTCGCCAGAGCCTAGCGAAGACGGCCCCGCCGCCGCCGCCCCCTAGACGCGTGATATTCGACAAGCCAAAGATGACGAAAGCGATGTTGGCGCGCCAGGCGCAGGCGCAGGCAAAGATCCTGGAGGATCAGCGGAAGCAGGCGGCCCTGGAGGCGGCCTCCGCTCGTCGACGACCGGGCCCAAGTCGTCGGTCGTCTCCCCGACGACCCGCGGGGCCGCGCCAGGAGCAGATACAGGCGGCGGCTGCGGAAATCCTGGAGGAGAGCCGCCACCAGGCGAAATCGGGGCATGCTGAGGTGATTCAGGCGGTGCCTGTGGGCGACGGGGAGATAGGAACGATAATAATTCCCCCGGGGGTCGTCCACGAGGAGCAGACGACGATAGTGCAGATAATGCCGCCTGAGGAGGCGGAGGCGGAGGGCGCGGCGCCGGCGGAGGCGGCTGCGAGCATGAACCGCTCGATTCAGATGATCAGCCAGAGCCTGAACGACCAGGACGCCGCGGAGGCTGCGGCTGTCCAGGAGAAGCTCGACGACTTCCAGCAGGCGAGGAGGGACTTCATCATGGAACTGGCGAGTGTCACCGCCCCCGGGGTCGACCCCGACCTGGAGATCCTCGATGTCGACAGACTGCCGCTGGAGGAGTTCGAACAAGAGATTCTCCCCTCACCGCGGAGGAGACTCCAGAGGGTCCCCGGCCCTGACGACGAGGTTTTCCACCTGGAGTATGGACGCGATCACCCGGCGATCGTCGCCGCCAGGGAATTCAGGAAGCGAAAGGAGCAGGAGAGGAGGATGGAGGACCGCTTCCACAGGGCGGCGCAGGAGGATGACTTCGACCTCGAGGCCCCGCTTTATCAGAATATTATGGACGCGGATATATCGTTCGAGGAGGACGAGGAGGGGATGCCCATGCCCTGCAAGTCCAGGGTCAAGGCGCCCATGCCCAGGATCCAGGGGAGAGCGGGGCTCAGGCCCGAGGCCATGTACTATCCGCATTCCACTATTAAGAATGATATTGAGGAGCTGGAGAGGTTCTTTAATATTGACAAGTATCCACCCATCCCCAAGTGCAGACCTCCACCGGGGAGGGAGCAAATCCATCGCGATCTGTGGGAACTCGAGGACCCCTGGTACAAGGAACCCTGCCAACCTGATGTACCTGATCTTATCGAATTTTCGAGATAGTTTTTGTGGTGATTCTTTGGACATTAAAATTTTTAGACGTGGAGAGGCTTTTTCTTGTTTTATTGGAGTTGCGGAGGTTGTCTTGGGAACACGCGGGAAAAGTGGAAAGAAATTCTGGTAGGGTTGATTATACGAGGGAAAGAAGGGCACTTTTTTGCACACGGAGAGAAAAATTCAATAAAATTTCCAGGAAAAAAGGAAAAATTACGTTTCGAAACGTAATCCGCGAGCGAAGTAAAATTCAATGAAAAGTGCGAGTCGGAACTGAAATTGTACGAAATTTTTCCGTAAAAATTAACCATCCGTCTGATCAGGTCTCAACCAAGTTGTTCTGTAATTTTTCCCCAACGAATGAGAAATTTTACGGAACGGAACGTGGAAATAACTCACCAGCTTCATAAAAAATGTTGAACGTTCAAGAATTTTTGATTTTGAAGGCACACTAAGTCGGGAAACTCCTGCAAGATTTTACTTCTTCGGGAAAAATTTCGTGACAATTTCGTACTTTGTTCGGTGATGAACCTGAAAATTCACTGAACGTTTCAGATTTCTTCCATTCTTATAAAAATTGCCGGAAAACTATTCCCCATTGCGGATTATACATGAATTGTTCCGTAATTTTTACTGAATATATTCTCCGTGCACGCGTCGCGCGCATAGAACTGCCTTTTCTCACTAGTATCGTAAAATCTCATACGATACGTGTGAAAGCTGTACTTCCTGATGAGTGGGATTGAACACCGCACCTTGGGCTGGACCTGGAACCCTCACACTCGTCAATCAATTTTTCTCACTTGTATCGTAATATATTATTTAGATTCTATCGAAAATTTTCGATGAAATATTCAAATATTCAATGGAAAAAAAATCACAATAGATTTCCATTTCTTCAGATAGCCTATTCTATTGAGAAATTTTCCATGGAAAACTGCCAGCATAAATTACAGAATACCACGCACGAAACAATTTAATAGAAAAACTTTAAGATTTCGTTAGAAAATTCTATTGAACTTTCTATCAGTTTTTGGCCGATTCTATTGAAATGTTCAATAGAAAATATTCAGTAGAAAAAGTCAATATAATTCGATTTTTCTGTACAACTTATTTTCTTAAGAAATTTTCTAGAAAATTTTCTCATATATGGAGGAAAAGAATTTTGGTTTTTTGTGAAGCATTTTGTCGACTGTAAATACGATTTTTTCACATTTTTCGATAAACACAGTCATATGACTTCAGTTTTTTTCCCCTTCAAGATCTATACGAATAAAAATTTGGTTACAGAGCACCGGAAATTAACTTATAAATACATTTTCTGGTTCTGGTTTTTAGTCTGGAGAAATTAATGCCTCATATTGAGTCATTAGGGCGGCGCCTGCTGTGCCCGGACTCGTGGAATTTTCTAAATGGATTTTAAATCGTCCAGAATCATTGAACACGAGTTGTTGTTCAACTCTTCATTTTTATTAATTCATAATAAGACCTTCTTCTCCAGAAAACTGTATAAAAAATGTAGTAGTTTTTATATTTTCGAAAGAAAATGTAACAACATTGTCGAGTCTTTCATAATTTGTTTTATTCAAGATTTATTTTAGTTAAAAATCTGTTATACAGAAACAGCGGAAGTTAACTTCTGAGAATATTTCCGACTTGATATTGCGTTTAATCCACAGGGCAATGTTTCAGTTTGACTCATTTGTGAAATCATAAAAAACTCATTCATTACTCATCGCCTTTTTCTGCCGATTCTGACCTCTGGGGCAGGCGTCGCAGCATCCGCAGGGGTCTTTAACTCCTCTTCCCTTATCTCCCTTCTCCCGAGCATTATCACCAGCAGACTGACGAACGGATGCGTCAGTGCCCCTGATAAGGCGATTCTACAATTGTTTGAATAAAGAGTTAACTGAATCTCCCATTTGTTTTTTCCCCTCAAAATCTACCTGACGACAAATTCGTCGGGCGGTTATCGTCGGTTCATTCAACCTCATCTTCGACGGTGGTTTCGAGAGCCTCCAGACCTGCGTAAAAGTCGCTCCGTAATAAATCAGAAAACCACGAAGAATTTATTAGCAGTTGGAGAAGTTAAGGCTGCAGAAATGCAGTATAAATTCTTTTAAAAAATTCTGGATTGAGGTGTGGCGGGAGAGAATTGTTTATAGGATTATTCAATAGCAATTTTCGAAATTGAAGACCACATGCACGAAGAAATGCCGGAGAGTTATCTAGCACGGATAAAAAAATTTTAATTAAATTTAATTTAGAAAAACCTAGCGAATTCGTTAGAACATTCGCTATTAAAAGAATTTTTTATCTATATTGATTAAGGTTTAATTATACCAATCGAAATTTAAAAATAGAAAAATGATTAATAATCTAAATTTCCAATTGATGATGAGTTAAATATTTAATAATGTGGAAGTGTAAATTTTCTGTTAGGTAAATAATACTAAATTATTTATAAGGGATTGGCGATTATCCAAATAATCGCCAATCTTCCTAACAAATTGACTACTTAATAATTTAAGGATAATTATAATTATGGATGTGGCTACCCCTTTCTATTGAACTTTCCATTAGTTTTTGGCCGATTCTATTGAAGAATACCATCGCTTTCCAGCGCGTTTTTTTAACTAGAAAATCTCCAATAGGAACTATTTTATGTATTTATAATGAATAAAAAAATTATAGAAAAAATCAAAATTTCATTTTTCTATACAAATTTTTCTACTCAGACATTTTCTGTAAAAATTCCTCAAAATGAATTCTCCTAGTTTTCATTACTCTATTTTGTCTTCTTTCTTCATTAAAAAAAATCAAACAAAATAACTTGGAAAATTTGAACTTTTCTATTGAAAAAAAATTCCTAGTGAATTCCCATTTTCTCATACGTAGATCTTTAATGAGAGAAGGCGATCTTGCCTTTAAAAAATCCAGAAAAACATGAAAGTTTGTAATTTTTTACTTAAAATAAATTTTAAAAATCCTGAGATAATTTTTTAAAATTCATCAATGAAGATAAAATGGTATTTCAATCTGTTATTAACTGATTGAAATATTTTGTTGTCACAAAGACTTAAAGAAGACTTTCCTCAAAGTCTCCAGATCTTCAGTAAAACCATCCCTCGCACCTTCGAATCTGAATAAGACATTAAAAAATCCCCAAGCCCCCCCTCCCTAACCCTCAAAACCCCCAACCATGAAATCTAAAAAATACAAACGCGGCTCATCAGCTGGTCCTCATGCCGGCAGCTCCTCAGATCGTTCTCATTCCCATCGATAAAAATAAAGTCAGTGCACCTCTCGTCCTTCCCCGTCATCCTCCCTCGCATCACGCTCTCAAATCACATCGAAAAATCCACCAAATCATCCTCAATCAGCGTTAATAAACGGAATTTTCGTGCGAAGGTTGAGGATTAAAAAAAATGTGACTAAGAATTTTTCAATAAGACATTCATAACCATTTACGTGTGGTTAAACTACCGCATGCTACTGATGTGACGCATCGATGCCATTGCCAATGCCCAGCAATGACAGCTAACTCATGCCACACACCGACAGGCCCGACACGCCTTATTGTTTAGCAATGAAGGAGGCACGCGTTGTCGGGTGCGTGATGGGTTTACGTTTCTCTTGAAAAATACAAAGAGACACTCAGTGCCACGATAAGTTGTTATCCCCCGCGGCTGTGCCCCTCCAGTCCCACGTCAATGAACATCTGTCCGTGTGTGTGTGCAATAGTGTTGGTGTGGAGTACGCTAGGCATTTTTACTCGAAGGCACTCGGTGCCAAATGCTCGAGACAGCGCTACGAGCGTCCACTTTTTACCGTGGAGGCCTGTTACTGTTTAGATGCGCGGAATTAATAAAAATATTTTCGTTCAATCGGGGAGATTAATTTCCAGTGCTGGGGTGATCGAGGGATTGAGGTTAGATGAGGTGGCATAGCTGATGGTGATTGTGACAATGGTGTGGAAAGAATTCAGCCAGCATCTAGCCGTGGGTGAGTGCATTGAGATTAGAAGGGTATATATAGGTTAATGGTGAGGAGGATGAATCTGTGGTGGATTGTGAGTGTGTCGTTCGACATCCTGGGTGGTGTCTCGAAGGGAAGTCCTCGGTGCTTGATGGCTCGAGGGGGATGAGGGTGGCCGAAGGGGGTCTTGGGTGATGGGGGATTGTCGGGTGTGGAGGTGATAATTGGGAGGATGACAGTCATTTGGGGGGATCGGAGAGGTGGTAATCATGCTGGGGAGGTGGGAGATTGGGTGTTTACTGAGGGAGACTGCGGTCTTGATGACGGTTTGGAAATTATTTTGGATTGGGGAGGAAGAGGTTTTTTGGTGGTGTTGGGAGGGTTTATTGAGAAAATCCCGGTGGATATTCTGCTATTTCGGTGGAAGTTGGAAATATTGATGAAAAACGATTGATTTGGAGGTGAATTGAGTCATCTTGATTTATGATTTTGGGTGAATTTGATGGGTAAAGTCATTTATTTGTTGTAGAATAGTTGACAGGACTTTTTTCTTATGTAGAAATAACGCATTGGGACATGCTGAGAAATTGTTTATTTTTTTGGTATTTTTAATTTGATAATTGAAGTAGATTACTTTTTCAGTTATCAATTTGGAGATATCTCTTGAGATGTCTTGATTTAGAGGAGATAGAGGATTTTTTAGAGTTCTTGGTCTTGTTTAGAAAAAAATAGGGAAGATTCTGCTATTTTGTTTCAAATTAGAGATATTGACGAGGAAGACTTGTTCGGAGATGAATTGAGTCATTTCCTTCTATGATTTTGTGTGAATTATGCAGCTACATTCATTCATTCGTTGTAGAATAGTTAACAGTACTTTTTTCTGATCTAGAAATAACGAATTAGGAGATAACAAGAAATTGTTTATTTTTGTGGTATTTTTAATTTCACAATTGAAGTAGATTACCTTTTCAGTTATCAATTTGGAGATATCTCTTGAGATATCTTGATTTAGAGGAGATAGAGGATTTTTTAGAGTTTTTGGTCTTGTTTAGAAAAAAAATAGGGAAGATTCTGCTATTTTGTTTCAAATTAGAGATATTGACGAGGAAGACTTGTTTGGAGATGAATTGAGTCATTTCCTTCTATGATTTTGTGTGAATTATGCAGCTACATTCATTCATTCGTTGTAGAATAGTTAACAGTACTTTTTTCTGATCTAGAAATAACGAATTAGGAGATAACAAGAAATTGTTTATTTTTGTGGTGTTGTTAATTTGACAATTGAAGTAGATTATTTGCTCTTTTTCGTTATTGATTTTCGAGATATTTCTGAATTGAGAGATAGAGGATTTTTTGGAGTTCTTGGTCTTGTTTATGAAGCAAATCATAGTGGAAATTAGGCTATTTTGCTTCAAATTAGAGATATTGATAAGGAAGACTTGATTTGGAGATGAATTGAGCCAATTTCCTTCTATGATTTTTTGTGAATTATACGCGGCTGCATGCATTCCTTCGTTGTAGACAGTACTTTTTTCTAGTGTAGAAATAACGAAATGGGTGATGACAAGAATTTTTTTACTATCATGGGACGTATAAAAGCTGATACTTTTTGGGTTCAATTTTTGTGGTGGTAGATGTTTAAATATTGATGCCTTACACAAATGATTTTTGTGTTTGTCTTCAATTGTCATATGTTAACATCGGGAAAATTATTATGGTAGCTTATCGGGATTATCAGGAAGATTATTCAATTGCCCTTCAATTCCTAAATATTCACCAAAAAATTGCACTGAAGTTGAATTGACTTATTCTACGTTACAATTTGGTGCACATCACGTGGCTCAATTTCTTTATCTCTAACAAAATCGTTCACAATCAATTTTCCGCCTCAGCGAGCGCAAAGTGCACATCCACATCGCTTCGCGGGTGGGAAACCTGACTTTGCGCCTATGCCGTGACGGAAAATGACGTCTTGACCACGGGAGGTAAAATAAAGGACCCTTACCCACGTGCTTACCCTCGCCTTCGGCTCGAGTGGTGATTCTGCATGCGGGCACGACTCTTTTAACCCTAGTCTGGTCACCTGACGGGAAAATGCGACTTTAGTCACCTTCGCGGGAGAGTGCCGCCGTGTTATTTAGGCTCCAGCGTTGCCGAATCCACTCTACACTTCCCGGGCGCGTTTAGCGAGTTCCCAGCAACGTCGCGCAACAGTCAATTTCATTTAACACGGGAAAAAATTGTTCACCTGTTGGAAATCATTTTTTTTCTCCCAGAATTAAGGATACAATATTGGAAAAAAATACTAGAATTTCCCAGATACTTGAATTGACGAATTCAATTTTTCTCAAATTTTTCCGGTCAACCAGTCGATGGCAAGGTGAATAAACATGACGGCCGTAGGCAGAGATTCACGGACGCGGAGCGAAGCGGAGCCATTATAAAAAATAGCATGTGCACCTTGCTACACAATATACTATTCATGTTCCATAGATGTTCCGATATCGGTCGTGTATTTGATGAATGATTTTTGTAATCCCCATGTCTCCCATTCTCAAATATTAAACAAAAACTCAATTTGTAGATAAATTGAATAGTTTCGTGTTATAATTATTGCAAAACCACAGCTAGATCTGTCATTTTACACCACCGTAAATACACAAATTGTCAAATTACTTCTCTGAATAGTGAGATGTCTCGAAATACTGAAAATAGATTTTCGTGATTTTTATGAAAATTAGCTCAGACATTGATCTCTCGTTCGTAAAAATCATGAATTTTCGTGGCTTTCTTCAACAGCCATATACAACTATCGGCAAGATGGTCCACACCGGCTGCACCTCTTGGTGGGTGATGTCGTGCAGATACTGGAAGAAACCGACGATTGGTACTACGGTTGTGCGAAGTACAAGGGAACCAGGGGAATATTCCCCAAGTCCTATGCACGCATTCTTCCCCAGTCGAGTAGCATGGAAGCCCTAATGCACGAGATAACGAGTGTATTGAGGGAATGGGGTCACCACTGGAAGCATTTATACGTGGTAAATATTGTCAATAGTTCGGTAATACTCCCTCACCCTCTTCCTCATTAACTGAGTGGAGAAGTTAGAGTAGATGTTTCCATAGCACTATCACCGATTATTTTGCGAATGTCTCTGTCATCCACAGATGTGTCTAAGGGTGTCAACAGAAAAACTTCCTTTGACATTTTTCTTAAAATATGGTAATTCCAATTATATTTACGAAATCAACTTCATTCAACGCCATTCAGTAGCGAAGTGGTAAAACGGTTCAAGCCAACTTATCTCACAGTTGAGTTTTTGAGGAATATTTCCGAATCTAAGGGAGATAGCGAAATTTTTGTAATTAGATGTTTTGTAGCTCTCAATCGGCTCTACAAAAACGGTTATATTAAAAATTTTGCTATCTCCCTTAGATTCCGAGATATTCATTGAAAACTGGTCAATAGTCAAAATTGACTTGTACCGTTTTACCACTTCGATACTGAATTTAATTGCTGTCGAATCGAGAATTCAACGTTTACGCAGATTCATTATGCATCCATTTCAGAAATAATCGATATTCTTCACCATTTTCCACTAGTATCTTTCATTATCAAGACGATTTACCTTAAACAAATGAGGATGTGTAATGAAGATTCTGAGAGATCCTTCTTGTAGCGGATTAAATTTGAAAAAGAAACGCCTTGTAGTGATTTTTTTTCAAGATGATTCAGTATCGAGATAATTCGATATCCAAAAAGATACGATATTTTTTTTACTGATATGTAATTCCATCCTTCCTTTGTGCCAGCTGATATTTCCAGCAAAGAAATGTCTCTTGAAATTTCCCTGTAAAAATCGCTCATCACGAGATGAAATAATATTGTTCTAAATGTAAAGAGACTTTTCTTTTATTTCTGAATTTGTTAAGAAGAGTCTGTCTTATTTCTCTGAAAACAATTATTAAATACCACATTTTGTTGAAGATCAACTTAGCTCGATGAATCATCATCCCTGTTGTCCCAACCCGAAACAAGTTCATAGAAATACCTAGCGAATTCGATCGAATGTTCTTGTGGATTTCTAGTGAACTCCCATTAAAAATGCCATCAGTTTTTGGTCGATTCTATTGAAGAATTCTGCAGTTTTACTGCGTATTTTTTAATATTAAATTTCCAATAGGAATTATTTTATTAAAAAATCAGTAAAATTTTATCTTGCTCTACAGCTTTTTTGTCGTGAATTTTCTACGTTGTTTTCTCATTTTTCTTTTTTCTTCATTTGAAAAAAAAATTCATAGATAAGAGGCGGTATTTTTCATTGACAATACCACGAAAGCTTCACACTGTGTATTTCGCGACATGTTTATTGCAAACAAACGAAGAAATCAAGTTTTTCATGTTAAAAATCGATTATCACAAACTTGCGATTTTGTGACTTGTTTTTCTAAAAACTTCGTTTGGTTGCAACGAACCTACTGCAACAGAAAATCACAATGATCACAATAAAAAATTATCAAAAAATTATCATTGTAAAACCGTGTGGACTATACAAAATAACGTAAAATGCAACAATTCTGTCGACCCAAATTCCAAAAGAAAAAATCAATAGAATGGGCACAAAACTAACCGAAAGAAATCCCACATACCATTCCCGCAATTTCGTTCGACTACAATTTTTTTCCTGCGTGAACCTTTCGCAATTCCCTTCCAGACGAACTCCGAGAACTTCAAAATGGTCCACCAGCAGATGCTGGAGCTGCTCGGCAACAGATCAAAAATTCTGAGTGGCACCCTGACCGTGGACGAGTTAAAAGACATGAAGCGTTTAGCAACCGCTCGAATCGACACAGGGAACCAGCTGCTCGGCCTGGACATGGTGGTCCGCGACGATCACGGCAACATCCTGCACCCAGAGGACACCAGTACAATCCAGCTCTACTACCACCACGAGACAGCTGCCGAGAGGATCCGCAGAGCAGCCACCGAGACCAAGAAGAAACCGACGAAGCCCCAGGTCCCAGTGTACTCCCACATCTTCTTCGTCAGTGTCCGAAATTTCGTCTGCAAGATGTCTGAGGACGTGGAGCTCCTCCTGACGCTCTACGACGGCCAGAAGAACCGAGCGATCACCGAGAACTACGTGGTCTCCTGGAGCAAGGAGGGCCTCGCCAGAGACATCGATCAACTCCACAACCTCCGAGTGCTGTTCACAGACTTGGGCTCGAGGGACCTCTCCAGGGACAAAGTCTACCTCGTCTGCTACGTCATCCGAGTCGGCGGGATGGAGGCGAAGGAGATAGACCACAGGAGATCATCAATCGTTCCGCAAACAAACCACAAGAACAAATCCAGTGTCGACAATATGAGAAGACCCTTCGGAGTTGCTGCCATGGACATAACCCTCTACATTACAGGTGTAGTATAACAAGCTATTTTCTATGGGTTTGGGTTTGGGTCACAGAAAATGTGAACAAGAAAAATATTAATTGATATTTCAGTTATTGTTATTAGACGGGTGATTAATTTCCAAGGGTTCTCAAACTGGATTTCTCTCAAGGATAGCCGGTTTTCTCACCGCAAATTCTATATTTTGCCAGGAAATATGATAAGTTGGAGTCAGCGATGGTATCGTCCATCGATTTAAATCAAATTCGTTTTTTACTCAAGAACGATTGGTTTTTTCACTAAATCATCCCTTGAAAATAACTACCACGTCTAATAATGAGCTCAAACTATCTGGGGTTTTTATTGTATTTTTACAAAACGAGAGTTTCAAATTTCATGTCATTTCAGGTATTTTCATTAATGACATTGATGGTAATTAACGGAGCTCAATATAATAATCCCGATTTCCCTCCTACCTCATCCTGTAAAATACATCACGGTTACACGTGTTATCAAACCCTCTCTTACCTCACAATATTAATGTAATAACTCGGATATACGTAACAATAATCAATATCGCACTGAATAATTATTAGTGTTGCCACATTTTTCAATAACAACAATTGAAATAAAACTCTTGCAAGAATTAACGCTGTTCATCCACTAAAAATAAAGATTGCGTAAATTTGATTTTAAAAAAATCTGTAAAAACTTTAAATTGTTCAGATGCATTGTGCAGGATAAAATTGAAAAGCAAATTAACACTTGTGAAGAAAACGATAAAAATTCTGAAACTTGACTGAATCAATGGGAAAAAAAATACAATTTATTGTGACAAAATTTTACATCATCAGATGTATAGTTTTTAAAAAATGAAATTATTCAGAAGAAACGTCACAAAAAAGTGTACCTAATTACACAGGAAAGCTCGAGGGTGACGTTGAACACCACCACTTCATTCCCTTCGTCCACTGCGAGAAAGAAAGTCTAGATGGAACACTTCGTCGAATCCTGGCGCAAAAGGAAACAGGAACCCTGAAGAACTCGTCCACTGGGGGCAACGGAGCCCCAGTGGGAGGCCAAGGGCTGTGGGCAAGCCTGAAGCTCCTGAGAGGAGACACTAAACAAGTTCGTGACGAGTACCCCCACCTGGTGCTGGGTAACGTAGCAATAGCCAGAAAGATGGGTTTCCCAGAGGTGATCCTCCCCGGTGACGTGAGGAACGACCTCTACCTCACCCTGGTCTCCGGAGAATTCAGTAAAGGCTCCAAATCCACCGACAAAAACGTGGAGGTAACGGTGAAGGTCTGCAATGACCAGGGTCTCCCCATTCCTGGTGTGATGACTCTGGGCGGAGGTGCACCATCGATAAACGAGTACCACAGTGTCATATACTATCACGAGGACAAGCCTCACTGGTGCGAGACCTTCAAGATAGCTGTGCCAATAGAGGAGTTCAAGCAGGCTCACTTGAAATTCACATTCAAGCATCGCAGTTCAAACGAGGCCAAGGACAAGTCTGAAAAGCCATTTGCGTTGAGCTACGTGCGCCTTATGCAGCGTAATGGAACGACCCTGCAAGACACACAGCATGAATTGCTAGTGTATAAGATAGATAATAAGAAGTACGAGGAGAATGACATATCGTACTTTAAGCTGCCATCCACTCGTGCTGAATTAGTGGAATTAAGTGCTGAGAAGAAGCCGGGGATTGGGCATTTGAGTCTTTCGTCCAAGGACAGCTTTTTGTTGTCGACTAATGTCTGCTCCACCAAATTGACCCAGAACGTTGACCTGCTGGGGCTGCTCAACTGGGCGAGCAAACCCACGGATCTCAAGGAGTCGCTGGCTGCGTTGATGAAGGTCGATGGGGAGGAGGTTGTTAAGTTCCTGCAGGACGTGCTTGATGCCCTCTTCAATATTCTCATGAGCAACTCTGACTGTGATTATTACGATGATATGGTGTTCGAGTGTATTTTGTATATCATTGGACTCGTTTCCGACAGAAAGTATCAGCACTTTCAGCCTGTTTTGGATTTGTATATATCGGAGAGCTTTTCGGCTACTCTGGCGTACAAGAAGCTCATTGCTGTACTGAGGAAGAGGATTGATGGCGCCAGTTGCCAGTCGAGTGATGGACAGGAGAGGGACCTGCTGAAGACTATGAAGAGTTTGCAGTATTGTATGAGGTTTGTTATTAAACTTTTAGGTATTTTTTTTAGGGGCGAATGGGGGAAACTGGACAGTTATGGGTTTTCTTTTTAATCTTAATAACTCATTGAATTTTTGATGAACACATTTTTGTCTGGACATAAAACGACCCTCACTAAAAAGATTTTTTTCTCCCTGATCCCAAGAATCATTTCTTTTCCATTTTTAAGCCATAAGGTTTGCAAAGTTTTGTTGCATTTGAAATTATTCAGATCTCAAAATGTCAAGAGATCTTTTTTATGTTGAATTTAATGAGAAGAGTTCGTTGACATCTTTTCTACAACAATAACTCGTTTCCGGATTAAAATCCAGACTTAACGTAACTGAGAGATTGGATCTGTCTGGTTTAATGAATAATGATTCGTATCGATACTTTCATAAAATTGTTTAATTCTCTTTAAATTATTTGAATGTCATTCTTCAAGTTATTTATCTATTACAAATATGAGGATCCATGTGAATTCGCTTTTATACCTTTTATCTTGTTTCATTCATTAGTTGTATAGTGGCTTTAAATTAATTCTCATTCTCATTTCGATTTCCTAAATATCTGTATTATACATTGATAACTCAATCTTCTACTGCAGTAAAAAAAAACAAGTTTGAAAAGTACATCTTTTCTTGAAGAAGAAATTATCTCACACTGAGAAAATTCGTTCACAACAAGAGAGCGACTTCTCGAACCAGTCAAGTGGCTTTGCACTAACATATTTACTAAAATATTTGAAAACTACTCAATACATTGATTCAACTAAACTTGGTTTGAGAAATTTATCGTTTGTCATAAATAAATTATCCTCGTCTTTGGGACAAATATAAATTCTCTTGACCAAAGTTTTTTCTTTCTCAGTGTAAGATATTTTCCTCTGGTCAATTTTCGAGCCACGGGTTTCTTGATACAAGTGAAGACGTTTCATTCACGTGAACAACTGGGGTACGTACTTATCAAAAAACCTTTAATTCTTGTTCAAATTCCCACAGGTTTATTGTGGAATCGAGGATGTTGTTTACTGAGCTGGGGCAGAATGAAGAGGAATTCTCACAGACTTTAACAGATTTGCTGAAGTCCATCGTTGATCTTATGAGGCACGAGACAGATGGGACGCTGCTGGTGCAAGGGGCTTGTCTGAAATACTTTCCCACGACTATTCCCCATTTGTTGCTTGTGTACAGTGGCAAGCAGTTGAGTGTCATTCTAACGGAGTTACTCATGACACTGCCACCTGGGAGGCTGACCAAGCAGAAGATGATGACTGTTAATGATATTGTTCATAGTCCCCTGTTTCTCAATGTGGACTGCAGAGGGATTCTTCTGCCCAAGATCACGGTTCTTGTCAGGGATCTGCTCGCCGCCAAGGAGGAGGTGAGGATGATTGGCGTCCCTCAGTTGATGGGGTTTTTAATTTTTTTATATCTTTTTCTTTTGGAGTTTATGCAGTTATTAACAAGTTTTTGCATTCAGTCAGTAGTAATTAATCGCATGCATTTATGCTGGTACCTTCTTCATTCGAGCGCACGTTATGCATGGTTTCAGTAATGCAGGGAGATTATTTTTGGAGGGCGATGTGAGGTGGTGGAGAAGGGATGAGTTTAGTGTCATTAACTTTAAAAACTTGATTATCATGAATTTTTAATATGAATAAGGAATTTCATGGACGATTTGGTCTTCAATTGAATTTAAATTCACACCCTTTTTGACTCATTGCCCATTTTTTGCCCATTGCTCATTTTCCACCATAAAGATTTTTTTTTTCAGAACCGTAAGAAATTTCTTCATATTCAGAATTTTACCAGAAATTGATTTCATATCTAAAAACTAAGTTTTCCGAACGTTTAAATAATTTAAATTATTTATTTATAAAAAACGAATGTTGAAAAAATAATAATTCAGTGCAAAATATAATGTGAGTGACGCTGAATATTCATGAATTTAATTGACCAATTTGATGATTGAAAATGGTTGAATCTAAAACGCAAAAATGCTTGGATATCCTTAATAATCCTAGTCAAGTAAAATTTCCAATTCTTTATATTGAAAACCCCCAAAAACGAATGATCTATGGAAAAGGAAATTATTGCAGGACCGTCCTCACTAGGATATCTTTGATATGAACTCCAAAATGAGTTTGCGAATATTTTGTTTTCCTAAAGAATTCTCCGGAATACGGACAACTTCCTTGAAAACTTCTACAAAGTCACTAGTTTTTGTAATACATATTTACAAAATCATTAAGGAAACTTCAATTTATCCCTCTTCACCACTTCCTTTCACATCTAGACATAGACAAAATGAAATTAACATTTCTCGGGGATTATGTTTGTTGTACATTATTTTTTTATGGTTTGGTTTGGTTTTGGTGTAATCGGCGTATTAAAGGGACTGTCAAGTACGCCTGGAAAAAGTGTGGCTAAGGTAGCTAGACTCCTTGGTGAGAATCGGCATCGGCTGAATCAACATCGTGGCTATTCTGAGGAGGTAGTTTCCTGATGGTGATGTAGTATCTACAAAAATCGCATTGCCTCATTTTTTTCATCCATTTCGTTTCATTTTTTTTTCATCTTTTTGAGTTTTTTTGGATAATTTTTTGATTCTCAGACTTGGGGTGGGATTTTTCTTAAGCGAATGAATTCAATCCACAGGTGGAGTTGTGCGTGAAGATACTGTCGGATATTCTCGAACTCACATTCAGGAAGGACGTGGGATCCACTGTCTCTGATGTCAAGGAAATCATGATGACAGCTTTAAGAACTGTTATACAAACTGTTATTCCCATGGACAGGGAGAATCCACTCGTGGGAAATTTAGTTTCCGTGATGCTTTCGATATTCAGGTAAAATTAAATACGAATTGTAATTATTTTCGTTCCCATTTGTTAAAAAAATTTATTTACTTTTTTTTATTGAAAACCTTTGGAGGAAACAAAAATCCTTTTGCAAAAAAATGCAATACTTTCTTTTCTTACTAAGGAACTTTGTCACAAAAAAATTAAAATGACTCCATTGTCATGAAAATGCTGAAGTGAAAAGTTTGACTCAAAACCTTTCTCCAGACAAATGACTCCACATCACTACGAGATCTACACCAACCACTTCGCGACGGCCTTCGATCTTCTGGACTTCCTAATGGAGATCCTCCAAGTCTTCAAGGACCTAGTCTCAACACCTGTCTTCCCCCCGGACTGGAGTGAGATGATAATGCTTCAAAACAGTGTCATCCTGAAATGCCTTCGTTTCTTCTCCGGCACAATCCGCGACTACTACTTCAAGGATTTTGAGCACCAAGCCTGGTCCAACTTCTTCCACTGTGCAATAGCCTTCCTGACCCAGCCCCCCCTCCAACTCGAGAACTTTACCCCCTCGAAACGCAACCGCATAGTGACCCGCTATAATGACATGCGTCGGGAGACAGCCTTCGAGATCCGCTCGATGTGGTTTGTAGAATATTCTTTTTTTCTTACATTTTGCAAGTTTGTTTTTATTCCAACAATAAAATCGTTTCGAATATATAGTAACAAAATTATATAATTAAAGTTATGGTCAATAAGAATGGGATATTAAACGTTGAGAAAATTTTTTCCTCATTACACTCAGCATAGGAGCAATTATGGCTATTGATTTATGCTTGAGAAAAATTTAAGTAAATGTATGAGATATTGATACAAATGATCGATTATTCTTTCACTTGCGTATTATGATGACTATTCTTCTGCGGAGTAAACCCATTGGTTCAAAATGCTGAATTAAAAAAACGAATGGGATATTTTACATTATCAAAAATCATGGAATAGCTGACATAAAGAATGAAATGAACGAATATTAACAATAACTGAATGGAATAGTTGATAAATCTGCGAGGAATCAAACTGGCCTGAATGAGATAAATAAGATAAATAAGAAATTTGATGAATGATTTGAACCCGTCGCATTTCAAGACATTGCTCATATTCAAGGTAGTTTAGCCGATTTTCATTCTTTTTTTCATTCAGTAAAAATTACGAACTTTCGAGCAAATCTCAATCTTTTTTTAACTGATAAAATGCTGAATGATGATACACTTTGAACGGTAGTCATAATTTTTAATTAGTTTATTCACCTTATGTGATCGTTCGGAACTTGATGGAAAATGCATAAATTCACATGAAAAGAGTGACTTTAGGGAAAATTCATGAAAATAATTTCTAGTGATACTTGAGAATATCAACAGTTGAAAATTGCTGATAGTTTCGTCGATTTTTTTAGTGGTATATTTAATTGACCTTATTCAATCCCAGTAAAGTAAAATTCCGCATTTGTTGCATGGAAAAAATTCAAAAAACGAATGTTGTTGTTCAACATTAATTTATTTTGTTCAATGACGTGGCAACTGCCCCATTAAATGTCCAGCGCAGTTGTCCCCAAATTAAAATCAAGTCGAGTTTCTAGGCGAGATTATTCGAACCTCAGGAAATCATTGCAGGTTCAACCTGGGTCTCCACAAGATCCTCTTCGTCCCAGGGCTCGTCGGTCCAATCCTCGAGATGACCCTCATTCCCGAATCAGAGCTTCGAAAAGCAACAATTCCCATCTTCTTCGACATGATGCAGTGCGAATTCTACTCCTCGCGCATCACTGAGGGCTATGGAGACACAAAACGCGAGCCAAAACACATGAGGGGTAATTTCAATGAATACGAGAATGAGATGATTGCTCAACTGGACATACTGGTGGAGGGTGGAAGGGGTGACGAGCAGTTCTGTTCACTGTGGATCAAAGTGATGGGTGAATTGTGCGAGGGCCACGCGCAGTTGAGAGATCAGGGCCTCAGGTGAGATTTTATTTGATTTCAAAGCTTTTGAGTGAAGTCCTGAGATAAAAATAGTTTGAGGGCAGAACGGAAGTCACACTGATTAATGCAATATTTTATTGAAACGAAAAGAAAATTGGTTATTCTGAGTTTTAATTTTAAAAAAGTACTTCGCAATTGTTGTTCTACAATTTTTTTGAAAACTTGTAGATTTTTAAAACTAATAGTACTCTCCCCTTAAGCTCATTTCGTCCCAAATTTCAAAGTGAATAATAATCAAAAATAAAATTAATAAAATAGTAAACCCATTGGAAAAAAACCTTTGATTCATTTTGAATTATTACACCGAATCAGCAAAAATTCAGGCCAGCCCTGAATTAACTTTGACGTCAAACTCAGAATACCCTCATTTATGCCCAGTGTTTCTGATTATAAATAAACCTCAAGCAATTCGATCATTGGATGAATATTTTTTCACCAATGAAATCATGAATGACACAATAGAATGTAAAATTGATTAAAAATTCGATAACAATAAATTTAAAAAATTGTGATAATATCAACGCCACTTAAGACAGTCAATTGTACTCAGATTCGTGGACACTGTGGCTAAACTCATGGAGCGATTGCTCCAGTATCGAGACATCATTCATGCCGAGTCCCAGGAGCACCGCATGATGTGCACGGTGAATCTCCTGGAGTTTTACTCAGACATCAATCGTAAGGAGATGTACATAAGGTACGTCAACAAGTTGTGTGAGCTTCACTTGGAGTGTGACAATTATACAGAAGCTGCGTACACTCTGAAGCTTCATTCCCAACTGTTGGATTGGAGTGACCAGGCCCTGCCTCCTCTGCTCCGTTCAAACCGCTATCCATCCTGCAATACTCACAGAGAACTCAAGGAGGCCCTCTACAACGACATGATTGACTACTTCGACAAAGGGAAGATGTGGGAGTGCGCCCTGGGGGTCTGCAAAGAGCTCGTGGCCCAGTACGAGGAGGAGACTTATGATTACCTCCAGTTATCTGTCCTGCTGAAACGAATGGCCGAATTCTACGACGCGATTGTTAAGCAGTTCAGGCCGGAGCCCGAGTACTTCAGGGTTGCTTACTATGGACGGGGACACCCGCCCTTCCTGCAGAACAAGGTGTTCATCTACAGGGGGAAGGAGTACGAGAGGCTCAGTGATTTCTGCTCGAGGACGTTGAACCAGTTGCCCAATGTCGAGAAGATGAACAGGCTGTCACCACCCACTGATGACATCATGGAGTCCAATAGCCAGTATGTGCAGATCAATAAGGTGGACCCTGTGATGGATGAGAAGAGGCACCGGCTCAGTGGGAAGCCTGTCACTGCTGAAGCTGTTTTGAGGTATGCAGGGATTTTTTGGTTCTATGGAGAAATGGTTTATAGGATTGTTTAACATGTTATTTTAGGAAAGTTGTGACAATAATTTTGATTTTAAGGCATATAACTTATTTTTTCATATTATTCCAATAGGATTCCTCAAGTTTATTGAAAATAAAAACAATTTGATTTTTGGAAATTTTCAAATAGCTATTTTTTTAGCTCAAACAAGAGTTGTTGGTTTTTCTCTTGCAGACAAACTGGTAGGATTTTCTGTCAAAATCGTTTGATAGAAAAATGGTTTGTAGGATTATTTAATTAATTGGAATTTTTTTACTGAAGGTCAATTAATAGTTCCAGGATGTTGTTCGAGGTGGTTGCTATGAATTATTAAAAATAATTTACTTTTAATGAAAATCAAGTGATTAGACGCTTGGATAGAGTTAATTGTTATGAATATTTTATTTCCTCTTTGGTTTCTACGAAAAATTTCAAAAAAAATCTAATTAAAATCGTATCAATAATTTCGATTTTAAATTGTATAGCTCATTTTTTCACATTATTCAAATGTAACTCTTCAATTTATTTATTTGAAAGTAACTAACAAATGGCTCATCTCATGGGAAAAAGATCAGTGATGCCACGATAAAAATGTATGGGTATCCATATCATATGAAAAAAATTAATAAAAAAAGATCCTGTTTGATTTGCAAATCAATTTCTCTTGAATCGTTTTTAATGAGGCACAAAAAACAACGGAAAAACCTTAAAATTTCTTAGGAGGATAATTCCTATAGAAAAATTAAAATCTGAGTTTTTTCTATTTAATCTCAATTAAGGACCGTATGGTAAAGTGGAATAAATTTGAATGGAAATTTGCGCAGAAAAAAAACCATAGAATTTCTTCGACAATGGATTTTCTATCAAATTCGTTTGGGTAATTAATTGTCATCTTCCTTCAAATGATTTTTCACATTTATTTTGACTACTATTGAAATTACAACAGGTATCACAGGGTCAATGATGTCCAGAGGTTCAGATTCTCCCGTCCGGCACCCAAAAGAGATACCTCATCGATCAACAGCCACGGGAGTTTAGAGAAAGAAAATTCAGATGGAAGTAGTCGTGATTCTAAAGCCAGTAGTAATAGTAATAATGAGTTTGCTTCGCTTTGGCTGGAGAGAACAGTATTATGCACGAGTCATCCCCTTCCTGGGGTACTGAGGTGGTTCCCAGTCGTGTCTAGTGATACTTATTTCGTTAGTCCTCTGAGGAATGCCATAGAGACGATGGAGGCCACCAATACTGCACTCAGGGATCTTATTATAGCGCACAAGTCAGATTCAAGTCTTCCGTTGAATCCGTTCAGCATGAAGCTCAATGGGATTCTGGATCCTGCAGTTATGGGGGGCATTGATAATTATGAGAAGGCTTTTCTCAATCAGGGGTATAAGGAGACACATCCGCAGGAGAGTGCGGATTTACTGAAGCTGGAGAGCTTGATTGCTGAGCAGATTCCCTTGCTCGGGGTGGGAGTTCATCTCCATAAAACGAGGGCTCCTGTGGAACTTGCACCCTTTCATCAGAGGCTGGAGCAGTGCTTTGTGGCTATGAGGACACAGGTGGAAGCTAAATATGGGAAAAGGGTGAGTTAATTATTTTTTTCGTGGGGGAAGAGTTGAGGAGAGGAAGGAGAGAAGTATGGGGCTGTTTTGTGGAAAATCCTGTAGTAAAAAACGTTTCGGAAAATGTCTTCGTTTTTTTTTGTAGAGAAAAGTGAACGACACAAAAAGGTCTTCAGAACTAATCCTCTGTCCATTTTGAAGGATATCCAAGTATTTTTTATTTTCAATCATCAAATTTGTCAATTAAATTGCGTGACAAAAATTTGAAAAAAAAACATGAGTATACAGCGTCATTCAAACCATATTTTGCACAGAATTATTATTTTTTTTAAACATTCGTTGTTTATAAATAAATGATTGAAATTATTCTTTTAGGCATGAAATCGATTTCTGGATAAATTCTTCATCATTCAGACATCGGCATAATCATAAATTTTTAATAAAGTTAAACGTTGAATTAGTCAATTGGTTAATATTTCTCAACAATTTTAAAATTTTTAGATTGATCATGAACTAAATATTCAAACTCTGACTTATGCTATCAATCAATAATTGCGCTCGGAGGATTGACGATTATTTGGTTAATCGAAAGTCATTTTATAAAATTCAGAATTTGTTTAATCAATAGTGAATTCAAAATTTAGATTATATAATATCAATAATTCAACGATTGATGGAGATCCCTGCTGTGAATAAATTTCCCACCCATTTCGATCAATTCCCATTCAAAATGACTCTTTAATTCGTATTATAGACGTGTGATCTACAAATTGAAGCTATGACTCAACCAGTAACTATGAGAAAGCATCCGCACAATAGAGGGGACTTCCATAGGCTCTCGGACAGCACCAGCATCATAAGCACATCTGAGTAAGTGAACAATCATCATCGCATTCATCAAATCATTTTCTCATAATTTTTGGCCAATTTCCCTGGATGAGAGAACACTCGGGCTATCCACTAAATCCCTCATGTCGCTTTTTTATTTACCATTTTGTGATTTAGTTCCGGTGTGCGGTCCAGAGTATCTTCCCTAACGAGATCACAAGTTGCGACACTCAAGTCGTTCGCAACATTCAATTTTAACAACAGTACAAATAACGCGGGTGTACAAAACGTCACTTTAACAAGGTAAAATGATAAATCAAAGAAATCGAAACCAAAATGGACATTCTCCAGATGCTTGTGAATGAAACTCTACGCCCGACTTTTTTTATCTCTGTTTTTTCTCATCTTCTCATCTGATTTTTCTCCTGATAACGAATGCCTAATAATCAGCAACTATCATTAATGAAATAATATTGTTTCCCGACTGTCTCCCGACTGTGTTTTTTCACTAATAAACTCATGAATACAAAAATTTGATGTAAAACATTGAGAAAGTATTTTCTGTTGATTCCAAAAAATGAGGAATAATCGAGAAACTATACTCAATCGAAAAAAAATTCATCCAAGCCCGGAATTAACTTTGCCATGAAAGATCTAAAGATCTTCTCCATTCCATAAAAACATAAAAACATATCCCCATTAACCAAAAAACATAAATCCATCAATTTCGAACTTACCGCATTTGCTTCCACCGTTTCCCTACCAATTACAAGAACTCCATTTCAAGACGGTTAATATTATTTCACAAATGCAATCATGAATTTCAAAACTAAACGTAAAACATTAAGAAAATATTCTCCTTTGATTCCGAAAGATAAGGACAAATGAAGCAGCTGAACCCAATTTAAAAAACCCTTTGAATTAATCTCTCATCATTAACGCAAAGAAAAAAAATCATGCAAACCCTGGATTAACCCTGGCATGAAAGATCCGCAGATCTTTCCCATCTTAAGACAACATAAATCCATCAATTGCGGGCTCACCACCTTCATTTCCACCATTTCCCCCCAATTACGACGTCTAACGACCAAAAACCTATTCCTCTTTTTCAGAAACAGTTCAGTTCGCTCTCACATACTCTCCTCCACGTCCCTCCACAAGGCGTTGGGCACTTCCGGTACAGGAACGAGTAAGAAGAAGGATTCAAAACGCAGGAACTCGAGAAAATCGGACGCAACAATCGGCAAAGACCTGAAGGAATCGACATCCCAGTGGTACACGACTCCAGAAGTGCCCACAAGCCCCCCAGTGACGTCCCCCGTTCTGTCAACATCATCACCAGTGACGACTCCCCCAGTATTCGAGCTTCGTCAGGAGCTCACCCCCTCTCGTCCCCTGCGCTCTGAAGTCGAGAAGGAACGCAGGATAAGCAGCAGATGGTCAGGCCAATCGCAGGGTTATTACCTGAGAAATTTGAATGGTCAGGAGGACATCAGGAAGAATAGAGACAGTGTGGGGACAACCGATAGTACAGCCTCTGAGGACGATCCCCCACCACCTCTGCCATTGAAGATGAGGGAAGCTGATTATTGCAGTCTTCCTCAGGAGAACTCAATGCCCCCCTCGTGCGACAGCAACGAGAATGACCCTGAGGACTACGATCAGGGCTTCATTGAGAGCCCTGTCAAGCCACCCACTCCACCCCCCAAGCCCAAACGCCCACTCAAGCATAAAATAAAGCACCTGGATGAGGGAAGCATCATGCACGACTCATCAACCGCCTGACAATTAGAATTATCAATGTTTTTGGATAACTTTTTACGGGACATTTATTGCCATCTGACACGTGTTTTTATACGTAATTTTTATATAACTTGAAAGTAATCGTTCATTAGGTAACGGCGATGTGCCATTACGTATTAACAATGTACTTTATTTTTGTACAATTGCCTTTCATTGTTCTCTACGTGCTCTAATTCGGATTATTCAGGGGGAAAAAATTACGTTTTGTTTAGAATGTATTGGAGAAGGGTTTTTGGCTCGGAAAGTTAATATTTGGGAGATTAATGGATTTTTTAGGGAATACTGAGGTCTTTTGACTTCTTTTATACTGATTATTTTGAGAATATCTTCGGGGCGGGAAGTTCGAAGTCATTTGATCGAATACATTTCATGCAGATGTATAAATTATCTAGGAAATAGTCTCCTAATTGTGGTAAACAATTCTATTGCTTCGAAAATATTTGTTTGTTTATGTTGCAAAACAAATTTTTTCAGACCTCTTGTAAATTTTTCACTGATGGCTTTTTATTCTGAAACGAATGGGATTAATAGAATTTCTTGAAGGAACGATCCCTCATCTGAATGATTTAGCAATTAAGCTTCAGGAAAATTCATCAAGAGACTTTTTTCGATTTTACGTAATTTTTTCGGTAGCGTAATTTTTTCCCTCTGCATATTAACGTCACCTTTTAGATGTAAATAACGATGATTGTTACCGTCCGGTGGTTATTCGATGTTACGCACAAGAGTAATAGTTCCGACATGACATTTTGAATCTAATTGACTTAATGAGATATGTCAATGTGCTACGTGATAATGACAATTGAACTTCTTTTCAATAATTATGAATGAAGATTAGATGGACTTAAGAAAACGCAATGCTGAGATACTTTCAAGGCCTTTTAGGGGAATAAAATACGAGTGTAGACCGTTGTACATTGTTTCGATTGGTGGTCACATTGAGTTATTAATTTATTGGAATAATGAGAACATTAATGAGTTTGTATGCTCAAGCCAAAGAATGCGTAATGATTTTACAGAGAAAATTTATATGACTATATAATAATTTTATATAACTTATTTTCTAGGAAAATTCGATTGTTGTGGTAGATATCTTCCTCTTTGTATTAATCGTAGTGCCATTTTTCTGATCAATCATTAACTTTGGTTTTATCATTAGTGAAAATGTTATTGTATTATTTTTGGGACCAATTAAACAAATTTTATACGTTCATTAACATGTGATTTGATTTTTGCATTGTTATACGACAAGAATAAAAAATTTTTTCATCTGCATCGAGTGTTTCCTTGGCGACGAAACAACAGTTTGGGGCATTCTGCAGTTGCTGGGGGTGTTTTGTGATTGTTGGGAATTTCTTTGTTGATGATGGAGGGCTCGGGTAATTATCGGGGGAATATTGTCAAGTGGCTGCCGTTTATGAGCTCCGAACTCGAGAGCTGGTTCACTCATATTGTGACCCTCAATGAGGCGATGGATAAGTGCGCCAGGGATATCGCCATGATCATTGAGGACTTGCAGGGGTCTATGGGTATCTCCGATAAAGAAGTGCGAATATTCCCTTATTCCTTTGTTTTTCATATAGTTTTTCATGATTAATGATTGCAGTATTATCACAAAATATTTAAATTTTCGGAGGCTCGTTTTGATACGTTTATGACTGCTAGTTTTCACTCAAACTCGTGTGGCTTATGAGAACATGTACTATTTTATCTTTATCCTCCCGTGTAAAAAACAATTTCATAGAAAAATCTAGCGAATTCGCTAGACAATTCCATTCGATTACTATTGAATTTTCTATTAGTCTTTGGGTGATTCTGTTGAAATGTTCAATAGAAAATATTGAGATATTTTTTATCGAATTTCCTAATCTCAAATTTTCCAAGTTTTTTTTGCTGGATTTTCTCGTTGAAAAGGAAAGAAATAGAATAAAAACAACTTATGAAATTTCAATCGAGGAAATTCTGTAGAAAATATCTCAATAGAATAAGTTGTATAGAAAAATCGAATTCTATTGACTTTTTCTATAGAATATTTCAATCGAATCGGCCAAAGTTCTTAAAACTAATAGAAAGTTCAATGGAAATGCAATAGAATTGTTAAGGGAATCCACTAAGTTTTTTGATTGAATTTTTTCGCGTGTGATTTCTTGTATATTTTCCATTCCCTCCATTTAAAATTAGATCATGAAAATGGAAAATATCCGGTACCCCTTTATCAATCAAGACAAAAATGATACGGAATTTTTTGCAGAATTTTCATTTTTGTTTGAAAATTCGAGCATTTTGCTGAAGAATTGTTCTCACAGGTGTTCCTGCGTCAGCAAACGAAGCAATTGGGAGCACTCGTGCAGACTTACTCATCGATCTGGTCGGACAAGAAGGAATTAGCCGTTACGAATCAGGTGTATAGATACAAGGTTGAATATCTATCGTCACGAGTAAAACGTTCCCTCAATATTGTTGCGAAATTCTGCAGAAATTTGATTTTCGAAATCATCGTGGATTGCTGTAAAGACGATGGAAAATTTACTAGACTTCTTTTTGGGTTTGTATTATCACACCGCCTCGAGGAGCATGAGTACTGTTGATAATTTTTGGCTGAAATTTTCGATGCACTTTCTGGAAATTTTTATGAAGTGCTAGTTTCACTGAAATTTCAAGGAATTTTCGTATTTGAAATTTCCAAATTGATTGAAAAATTCATGGAAACTGAATTTGACTTCAGTTATTTCATGGAAATTGATAGAAATCAGGAAAATTCAGGTAAATAGATGCCTGATTTTTTAATTAAGTGAAAATTATCAGGAATTGGGGAGTGAATATTCATTTTTTGATTGAAAATTCATGTAAGTTGGGCAAGTCTCGTCTTCCTGCTGCTAAAAAAATTGGAATTCCATTGAACTCTCAGTGAAATTTGGAATTTTATTACTTTTCATTGAATTGAATTCATTCCTTCATCATCTTGCAGGCTCGTTCAGGCATACAACGATGCACTGGACCTAGACTGCAATGTTTCCTCAGAATCAACTTCCGTGAACATTTATTCTAATGACTGTCCGTCCATGCTGGACCCGCTGAAAAAAATCTCCGTTACTAGAATTTTACAAGTAATATTACACAGAGAGAATTCGTTTTTAAGTGAAAATTTTTTCCTGCCTGAAAGCTTTTTTTGTTGAAAGGTTTTAGCGAAAAATAAAGCGGAGGAGAATTGCCACGAACTCATTGATTGCCTCTTGATGAACTATCAACCGCGGAGTGAGGAGGATTTGAAATCCCCCCAATCATGGGATGTGGAAATGTCGGAAAATTCGAGTATCGAGATATATCGGTAATTGGGGGCAAATTGAATTTGTTGAAGTGCGGAATCATTACTAGTTTACATATCTTATTTGGATAATCATGCTCTGTATCGATAAAAACTCCCGCATCCATCAAAAATATCCCCATTTCATCACTTTTGAAGATGGAAAATTTGTGTTTTATATCGTTTATGCAATGTACCCGTTTTATTGCTAAAAAAAATCAAAAAATTCTTATGACTGCATCAATCTCAGTGAATTCTGCAAAAAAAAGAATTAAAAAATTCCCCTGATAAATGTCACTTCTCATTTTATTACAACGGATTTTTCATTACTTTCCCGATGGAAAATAGTATTTGATAATTCCCATCTAATTTTCGCGTTTCATCTCTTATCGCAATGAAAAGATTTCTTCCAAAATCCTTATTTATTCCTCCAACCAAAAGAATTCTAAAGAAAATTAAAAATTGACGTAATGAAGGTCCGTTTTCACGATAAAAAAATTGTATCTGATATTTCCCGTCAAATTGTCGTAATTTATAATTTCTATCATTTCAAAAATTTCCCGGGAAATTCTTATTCCCTCGTAATTCTCAGAAAATTATGGAAAAATAAAAAATTACTGAATAAGTTTCCATTGTTATTAATGAATTAGCGTTTTAACAAAGCGCATGACTCCCCCCGGCGATACGTGAGCTCCAACCGAGGCTCTCAAAAATGAAAAATCGTTATTTTCTCCTCCAACTAAAAGAATTCTGAAAAAATGACAAATTCTCGTAATGAAAGTCCGTTTTTATTCTTCGTTCAGCGATTTTTTATTATTTTTCACGATAAAAAAATTAAAATCTGATATTTCCCGTCAAATTTTCGTAGTTTATAATTTTTATCACTTCAAAAATTTCCCGGAAAATCTTTAATCTTTTAATCTTTTCTCTCGTAAATCTCAGAAAATGATGAAAAATTTAAAAAATTACTGAATAACTTTCAAGAGAAATTGAAAAATTACTGAATGAGTTTCCATTCTTATTAATCAATTAGCGCATTAACAAAGCACATGACGCCACCCGGAGACCCCCCAGCCCCAACCGAGGAAAATATTCCGGACCAAACTGAGCCGACAACTCCAGGGAACATAGAGAGTATAGAAGCCCTCGTCGACAATCAGACTCTTCAAGTTAATAAACTCATGGAGGCGATAAGAGATGTCTACCCGCAGTTGTTCGGCCTTGAGAACATCAAGTACGACTGTCGAGGTAAAGAGGATATCCTCACCCTTTTCCTCCCTTTTTTTCGCAGATATATAAGGGGATTTCGCAGGTGAGACCAAGGTGAGGAGGAGTGCATTGACACGGCTCTCGGATTACTACCAGCGCGTCGCGTGGGCCGCGATATCCGGTATATTGGATCATGTTGTGCTGTGGTGGTCCCCCGAGGGTCTCGCTGCACGTCACAGCCAAGGGGCGCATCATCTCAAAGACTGGCTGCGTCGGTTCATCCAGACGAATGAGAGTAAAATGCATTTTTTGAATTGTTGAACGGTTAAAGGGACACCCAAAAAAACAAGCTTTATTTTGAGACTTATGATCTCAAATTGAGACTTTTGAAAGTCCCAAATTATTGACATTTTCAAATGTTTCAAAAGTCTCAAGTCCATACTTTCAAAAGTTCCAAATTGAGACTTTCAAAACTCTTAACTTGAGAATTTCAGGCTTCAGATTAAAACTTTAAAAAATTTTATGTTCAGACCTTTGAAATTTTGAAAGAAGGAATTATTTTTTTGGGTGGGGACCGCAGTGAAATTAAAAACTCCTCGTTAGAGTAGGAACTTACTGAGTAAATTTAGATTTATGATGAGATATCTTAAAAAGTTGGAAAAATGATGAACCCAATCGATTGTGCCCCGTGAATCTACGAAAAACAACGTTTTTCATTTTTACCTTTAAAATCGTCCAAGTGCCTCAGTTTTCTTCCGATTGGTATATTTTTTCTAATGTTCGTTAGTCTCCAAGAACAAAGGTACACACTATTTTCCGATCTGTTAAAAAGATCATAAAAAAATTGGAAAATGATGAAAATCCATAAACGAAAAAAATTTTCTTCAATTAAAAAAATTCAGTGAGTGTAAAGCTCTGAAATTCCGTGATTTCGTCACCGATTTTCAGAGTAATATCACTGATTTTTAGGAACTCATCTGTAATGTTTAGGAATCTATCACCAAATTTAAGTGACAAAAATCACTGTTGATCAAGATCATTTTAGTCAGTGTCCAATATCCAATAATTGACGATAGATTCCTGAAAATCAGTGACATGTCCCTGAAAAATCAAAACTTTTCTTGCTTTAAACCAGAAATATTTTTAACGGAAAAACCTATAGATTCCGATTTGTTCCTGTAATTTATTCTATTCCGATACTTCCTACAGAGATTCCGCGGCAATAAATTTTCCAAGAGGTGATTTAAAGAATTTCGATAGAAACAATTTCAACAGAATAAGTTTCATAGAAAACCGAAAATCTACTGATTTCTTCTATTGAAAATATGGCACGTCACATCATCCCGTCAAATGATTGTCGTGTTCTTTACATTTTTCAACAGTTTCTTCGAGTGTCAGACCAGCTCTATTGAACCTCTGTGATGCTCTGGGGTGTCACGTCACCGCCACCTCCTGGGATGAGCTCTTCAGATTGGCCTACATCGCTTCCTTCGAATGCTCCTCAAAACCCTTGTCCTCCGAGGTTTTTACATTCCCTCTGAATTTCAAAGCCATTCATTCCCGACAATTTTCTGATAATTCTCATGTTTACCTCGCTAAAGGGCACGGATACGGGCCAAATGTTTGCTGAATTATTCCAGCTGCTAGTGACACTCAGTAATGAATGCGAAATTGGGGGTGAATGGGTCGTTGGAGCTCCTCTAATGGAATTACCTCTGTCAGAGCAAATAATTGTCCTGCACAGATTGGACCATTCGGTGCACACGATGCGGCTCTGGGCTATCCAGGAGTCAAAATTGATCGCTCATACTTGGGATTTGGAGACTTTTTTTCTACTTGTTAAGGGTGATCTCGTGGCTTGCATCGACGAGTTGTCATACCTCAAGGTATGCGACATTTTTTAGACCGCTCAATCATAGGAATGTTTCACCACATTTTAAATTTAATTGTCGAAGGGATAACTGTATTGGAAAATTCGAGGTATATTTTTTTAAATACGAGATCGAGTGTAAATCAACATGATGATCATTTTTACATCCCTAGTTGCGCCTCTCCTAAAACATTCTTCATGTAACTGTACAATTATTCAGTGGTTTGAAGTCATTTGTTGTAAGAATTACACAAAAATTGATAAATTAGCTGCCTCCACACCAATTTTATTTTCAAGCCAAGTCAATTGTCCATATTCAGTAATAAATAAATGGCCGTGTCTGCTCTATAATAATTAATGTGTGAAATCAGTACACAGAGAAAAATTTTTCAGAAAAATTCTAGTACGAGTACTGGAAAAAATCACAATGCACCGGCTGTGAAAAATTCTAGTGCTGTTAAGGTAAAATTTCTGGGGATTTCTGTGAAATTTTCAGAGAAATACGGGGAAAAATTCACTCTTTCCCCAATAAAATTTATAGTGCCGGCACTGGCATTTTTCCTGGCCGTCAATTTGCGCCTCTTTTCCCGTGGTAGCACTAGAATTTTTCTAAAAAATTTATCTCCGTGTAGCGAAGCGGTAAAACGGTTTAAGTCGATTTTGATTATTTCGACATCTAAGAGAGATCGCAAAATTTTTGTCAATACCTTTTTTGTAGAGCGAATTAAAAGGTACAAAAAATCGGAAGGTCCCGGATTCAAATCCCGGTCTAGACTATCCATTTATTTTCAGTACAAATTTTTTGGTTATTCATATTGCGAATAATCCCCCCCTTCTATCTAATCCAAATCTTATCCAATCATTTCCTATGACGTCATAAAGATGTGGAACGCTATGTAAATTCCCTTCTTTAATGTAAAAAAATAATGTTATAATGTGATAATGTAATAATGTAATGTAATAATGTACTAAAATTTTTTAATGTAAAAAAATTTCGCCATCTCACTCAGATTCGGAGATATTTCTCGAAAACCCAGCCAAGGGCTTAATCGACTTAAACCGTTTTACCGCTTCGCTACTCCATTTAATTTTATTCCAGCTCAGTGATCATACTTCTGCTCTTTCCATCGACGCCACCAGTGTCCAAGTGTACGTTTGTGCAAAGATGAGAGCAAAAATAGTATCTGAAGTCAACGCAAATATTCAATTGCTCAAGGTTAAAATGAACATTCAATTCACGGAATATTCCGACGAATTAAGATGGATCTTATGTAACATTTTCTGATTTCAGGAGGCACCGGTCAAATGTATAAATACCCTCGCTAAAATTTGTCGCGTTGTGAGCCTAGCAAATTTACACATGTGCTTCCCAATATCGAAATATTGGAGACGAAACAGCAGCACTGTTGTCGCCGTTGGACCCACACCCTATGTGGAGACATATCTTCGTAAGACGTCAGCAATTTCGAGAGATTAATGAACTGGAGTTATCCGCACAACAATTTTCATGATTATTACTTTTTTATAGAACGCGTTCTTTTGCCAGTTCTGGAGGTGATTGAAGACCACGAGGTTTCTAATATGGTGTTGAAGATCATGTGTGAAGCCTGGCTAGATTACATTTACCTTCATCGTATAAAATTCTCGTAATTATTACTGGAAATGAACCAAAAAATGAAGCTTTTATGCAAATGGAAAAAAGTGAATTCATGGGAGATGAATGCAGTTTTTAGTTTTCTTCTCAAGAGGTCTTTTTTGTGCCCCGTGCAAAAAAAATGAAAATAGGTCTTCGACCCTCCTTAAACGGGATCCTAGTTCCAACAAAATTCAATAAAAAAACTTGGAAAATTCGCTAGGTACCCAGAAGCAAAGAACTTTTAGTTTTTAGGGCTATATTCGTAATTTTTAGGAACTGATCCTTAATTTTTAGAAATGTGTTCCTAATGTTTACGAATTTTTGACGCTGACTAGAATTATCCTGAATTTTAAGGATTCAATCACGAATATTTGGGAACAAAGTTTATAAGATTTAGGATTTTATCACTGGAAATAACTGACAAAATTACTTGATTTTAACATTTTACATTCATTAATTTTAGAATGGTACAGATCCCTAAAAACGAAAAAAAAAAATTTCTCTGCGAAATTCTCTTGGAATTCTATTGAATCCATTAATTCAATCCATTAATTTGATGTTCCATTTGTTTTTGCTCATTTTCTCTATTGAAATATTTCGCAGTTTATCGACACGTTTTGCAATAGCTGAATTTACTAGGCCTTCAATTTTCTATATAACTCATTCTATTGAGATATTTTCCATAGGCCTTTTCATTTGAGAATGTACATGACATATTCATTTCATGTAACGAACTAGAAATTTTCTGGAAAAATACTGAAAAAATCTTTATTCTAAGTAAAGGAGTCGTGCCCACGTGCAGAATTAAGCCCATGGGTAAGGGTGACTGCCCAGGGAACAGAATTCACACGGACACGCATCCGTACAACCGATTAGATCGCAAGATTTTCCCGCCAATTTTATTTGCTCGACTTTGATTGGTGTACGCGGATGGGTCTCCGTGTAGATTCTGTCCCATGGGCAGAGTCACCCTCCACTGAGAAAATTTTCAATGGTAATTTTAACTACAAGGGAATTGTCAAAGAAATTATATTTACAGTAACAATAAACTTTGTAGATTAAGCTAGAATTCATCGTTCGATTTACTGTGTTAAATAGTGTCATCAACATTACGATATAATTTTTACTTGAATGTACTACTTGAATCTACAATGTTTATTGTTACCGTAACTATTATTTTTTCGACAATTCCCTTGTATTTGAAATTACCATCGAAATTTCTCTCATTGCAGGGTTCTTTATTTTACCTCCCACGTTAGAACCGTTTTTTTCGCCTCGGCGTATTCGCAAAACCAGATTTTCCTTTCGCGAAGCGGAGAGAAATGTCTACTTTGCGCCTGCCGGGGCGAAAAAGTTCTTTCAAGTTATCAAAAAAGACGATTCACACGTAAATGTGCGAAAGTGCCCGAAAATCTAGTGAATCTAAATTAAAAAAGCCTATGGAAATTGCTCCCACAAATGTGGGGAACTCATTCTGTTCAACGACTTCACGATTCAATAACGGCAATCACATCAAATTTCATCGTCTCTGTTTTAATTGAAGTGAATTTGGAGCTCTGCAGCTGTTAACAGACTTCGCCCACGTCTCCCGTTGGGTCACAGACTGTCCCATCATCTCCCAAGGGGTCAAAGGGCATTTATTGAAGAACGAACTTCTGCGGCGGTGTGAGGGAGTCGGAAGACTGCTCCTGAGGCACCCCGGAGAGGCGATCGCCATGCAGAAGCGTATGTATAGCCCCCTTCCCTGATATTAATAAATATGGTAAATATTAAGAAAGAGGGCCCATCCGATCGATGGTGGGGCTCTCTTTCTTACACGAAGAGAAATTTTCTATAAAAATTCTAATACGAGTACTGGAAAAAATTACAATCCACCATCTGTGAAAAATTCTAGTGCTGTTAAGGTAAAATTTATTGGTATTTCTGATAAAATTCCTGGGGATTTCTGTGAAATTTTCACAGAAGTACTGGGAAAAATTCACGTTTTCCTCAATAAAATTTCTAGTGCCGGCACTGGATTTTTTTCCTGGCCGTCACTTTGCGTCTTTTTTCCAGTGCTAGCACTAGAATTTTTCTAAAAAATTTCTCTCCGTGTAACATTTACCACAAGGAGATAAATATTCAATAAAAATTACGTATCTTTTCCGTAATTCCGCAGCGAAATGTGGTTGTAGGAAATTTTACGGAACTGTCATGGAATTTTTCCGGAGCGTTCCGTAATTTTTATCCGAATCTCCTGTGAAAAATTACGATACCGTCACTTAAATTATCTGCGTCAATTTCGTAATCGGCGAGTGAATTGTGAGCTCGTAATTTTTACTGAACATATCGCATCTCCCCGTGCATGAATTTTTAATAAAATGCGCAATAAATTCGTCAGAATCAAGAACGAACGAAAATGGATCTCCGCAATCCCTGGGACTGGAGCGAATGCCAGCGGAGATGTACGTTCCCAATCAGCAGCAGTGGCTAGAACTCAGAGCCTCAAAGACTTATAAACTCTACTGCTGCACAGATTAACGATTTTTCCGACGTAGGGGACAGCCCTTGAAGCCTAAAAAGCGGAAGAAGCCCTTCATCCTCCCTGTTGTACGGACTTCCGACACGAACTTCCCTCGCTCCTCTTCTCTTCACTCTGAATTGTATTTCCAAATATCTTGTGGTTCTTTGTATCTTGAAACGATTTATATTGTATCTGAATTCTCGTGGGAATTGAATAAATGATGAATACGTGTTTTCTCAAACGTGTTTTATTGACTTGATTCAATGAGACTCGGTGGACGCGAGAGAGAGCAAAGCCACCGCAAAATTGAAACACGATACGCTCATGTTTCAGATGTCCTTCTTAGTTTAACTTACGCAAGGGGGCGGGTTCATAAAAGTTCGCGAAAATAACAGTCCAATAATTTCGTTTTTTCAACGGATAATATTCCTAAAAATATTCCTAAAATATACGCGAGGAGAAGAGTTGGGTAAAAATTACCTGGAAAACCGTGGCAAATTTTAAAGTGGATACGTCTTTAATTTCATGTCAGGGGTCATTCGCGGAGTTACCCCTAACGACCAACGCCATCTGATAATAAATAATAAATAATAATAATAAATCGATAGATGTCGGTATTATAAATATAAATAATGAGCACCTGAGGCCGACAACACTCCACTAATCCCTCCCGCGAAAGGGGGAATGGAAAGGGTTCGCGACACTGTTCGGTCAACGCTCTTGGTCAGTTCCGTCGCGTCATTCATCGAGACTGGATCCACCTGAAAACTACCCCGAATCTCCGAAAATGCCAATCGTGACTGAGAGAACATCTTTAACGAGATCCGCAGACCCTCCCACATACGTTGAGTACGCGGGGATGGTGAGGACCAGAAGATCGAGAGTTCGACAGTTTCAGTGCTGTGTTTGTGCTATTCTATTGTGAGCATTTACCCTCAAAGCCCTTCACCCCCTCCCGCAAACCGCCCTGTTCGTTGTTTATACAAGAATCACTTCGAAGTGGAGAATATTGTCTTTAATTCATGGAGAATTTCTTTCCATCGAGAACTTGTAGATTCAAGTGTGAAATTTCATCCTGAATTGGAAACAGAAACATTTGTTTTGCTCTGTAGCCTGCAAGATTTTATAGGGATGAGTTTCATGGAATTTCACTTCAGTCATTTTGGTGTTTATTAAAATAGAATCTGACGGTTTTTCAATGAAACAGACTGCAATCTTCAAGTTCTCGAAGAAGGGAAATTGTTCTTTAATTGCTTTTCAGTATCTGTTGATATTTATATTTCATTCGCCTACTGCTCCCAAGCATTAAAACATCAACATTCATGCACGTAATCTCGGAGAATGTCATTTTTCTATCAATGCAGCGCGACGATTGAATAAACCCTATATGATTTTCCGTAATTTTTAGGAACTGGTCGTTAATTTTTAGAAATATGATCCTAATGTTTGAGGATTTTTGACGCTGACTAGAATTATCCTGAATTTCAAACATTCAATCACGAATATTTAAGACTAATGTTTATAAGGTTTAGGATTTTTTCACTGGAAATAACTGGCAAAGTTACTTGATTTTGAAATTTTTCATTCGTCAAATTTTAGAATGTCACAGATTACTAAAAACAAATTTTTTTTCGGAGAAATTCTCTTGGAATTCTATTTAAGGTTCCATTCCTTTCAAATATTCCGCAGTTTATCCACAAAATCTATTGATATTTATATTTCAATCATCTACTGCTCTCAAGTGTTGAGAAATTAAAATTCACGCACATAATCTCGAAGAATGTCATTTTTTCTCTGAATGCAGCGTAATAATTGAATAAACCCCTATGAATTTCCGTAATTTTTAGCAAAGTTTATAAGGTTTAAGATTGTTTCCCTGGAAATAACTGACAAAAATACTTGACTTTAGAATTTTCCATTCGTTAAATTTTAGAATACCACAGATTCCTAAAAACAATTGTTTTATCGGCCAAATTCTCTTTAACGTTCCATTGGTTTCCGCTAATTCCCTTCAAATATTCCGCGGTTTATCCACAAAATCTCTAGTTATTTATACTTCATTCACCTACTGCTCCCAGCATTAAGAAGTCAACATTCACGCGCATAATCTCTAATTTAATTCTTTCTACCAATCCACCGGACCGATTGAATAACCCCCATATGAGTTTCAGGTCACTCTCAGTGATGGCCGTGATCATGTCCATCAGCTACGAGCTCTCCCCGAGGACTCCAGAGCCGAACGAGCTCAATTCCCCGATCGAGCCCCCAACAATCACCCCCAACGTGACGACTCTCTTGCAACTAGCGTCTCCGCTAGCTCCCGCGCCCTCCCTCCCGGACCAACACGTCAAAGCCTCAGAGCCGGCGGAAGATCCAACAGCTCTAACCCAGCAAGAATGGTCTGAAGCCGTGAAGATCGGGAGAGAAGCGATCGAGGATCGTTTGAAAGCGAACGAAATGGCGACGAGTTTGATGCCAGGGGAAATGTCCCCGAACATTCGTCACAGTTACGCAGTCAGTACGGGACCAACAGCCGGCAGACTAGCCCTCGCAGGCGTCGGAGAAGTGGCTGCCAGCAGGCACATCGAGTCATCTAGGAGAGCGAAAGGATTTCGATCGGCCTTTGGGGCTTATTTCGACGGGAAGTGGTCGGGTGCCTCAACGTGCGTAGAGAACGATGAAAATGTCAAGTGCGATTTGACGCAGAAGTACCGAAACATCAATGGGACCTGCAATTACCCTGGGAACAAGGGCGCGGCGTTCACGCCGTTCAGGAGGGCCTTGGCTCCAGTGTATTCTGATGGGATAGAGGCGCCGAGGAGTGGAAAATCGGCGAAGGGATTGCCGTCCCCTCGGGAGGTCTCCCTGAGGGTTCACGGACCCTCTCCGAGCTCGAACCCCTCCTTCACGGTTATGCTGGCTGTCTTCGGACAGTTCATCGATCATGACATGACCGCCACTGCTAATGGGAGGGGGAAGAACGACAGCACTTTGGCTTGTTGTCCGCCGAGCAAGGGACATCCCGAGTGCTTCCCCGTGGCCGTTGGACCCGGAGACCCGGCTTATGATTTCGCGGGGAAGACGTGCATGGAGTTCGTGAGGTCCGCACCTGCTGCGCAGTGCAAGATCGGCCCGAGGCAGCAATTGAATCAGGTTGATGGAGCGAATTTTTATTGAGGGGTTCCTAGCGGCGTTGTTGTTCGCAAATGTTGGGGAAAAATTACTGAACAAGTCACGTACACTGTTAAAAAATTTTCACTGAAGTTCCGGGCTTTAGTCTTGAAATGTGAAACAAGTGACGGTTTCATTGAAATTTCAGGGAATTTTACCATTGAAAATTCGTGGTTTTCGTGGAAAATTCATGGAAATTTTAAATTCCAGGTAAATTTCTCCACGAAAATTAATGGAAATGAGGAAAATTCAAGCAAAAATGTCCTTGAATTTTCAATTTTTTCAAATTTCACAGCAATTTCTTATTGAATCATGTTTACATTGATAATTCATGGAAATTTTGGAATCTTCATGGTTTTTCCACTGATAAATCAGGAATTTCCTTGAATTTTCAGGGAAAGTTGAAGTTTCATAGACTTTTTTCCGTTAAATTGAATTCAGTGTCATTTTCTGGAAAATTCAGTTGAATTTTTTTAACAGTGTAATCGTGGAGCAATCTCGTTTTCCAGTATTTTTCACGGTAAATGGGAGAAAAGGTGCGAGATTAATAGTGAATTTTACCCCGTTGGCCCGGGAAAATTTATTAAACGTGAGGGTGATTTGTACCGAAACTAAAATTTACCCTGGATTCTATCAATAATTATCCCAGTGAAAGTGAATAATTGCTCCAATTTTTCGTATAATTTTCCTGTAACGGAGATAGTAGATTATGTCATCAGGCGATAAAAATATTATGTTTTATTTCAGTACCAAATTTCTTTGAAAATTAGCGAGAAATAGAACTTTTTCTCTGATTCTCCGGAAAATTTCACTGGAAACCAGAAACTTTTTTTCTCCGTGCTCGTCAAAAGGGACTCAGAGTACTTTCCATACACTGTCAGAAAATTACTCTTGAAATTTCAAGTGAAAAAGCTTGAAATTTTTAACAACGACAAAGTTACATGAAATTTCTGTAGAATTCTTCATTGACGAATCAGTTCATTTCTTGAATATTCAAGTAATTCTCGATTTTCAGGTCCGTACGGCACTGAAAAACCTTGAAAATTTTGAAAATTCAGGCAATAACTTCTCTGAACTTTCAGTCTATTGAAAATTGAATTGTACCTGATGTTCAATTTTCGCGATTACTCATGAAATTCAAGCTTTTATTGAAAAACCAATGATCTTTTAACATGAAAAACCTAATTTTCTTGAATTTTCAACACGAATGAACTTCAGTGAACGTTTTCAATTGAAATTGAAATTCAAAGTCATCAATTGAAAATTCCGGTGACACTGACTGAAATTTCAAGAGACTTCTGACAGTGCAAAAAAAGTTCGACTAATAACACAACTGCTCCCCTTCAACCAGCTTCAACTCTCTCTCTCTCTCTCTCTCAATCCCCCAGGTAACCGGATTCATCGACGGCTCCGTGATATACGGTTCCGACGACGCGACCGCCAGTTCCCTCCGGGACTTCAAATCCGGAAAACTCCGGATGTTCAAGACCCCGGACGGTAGGTTCCTCCTCCCTCGCAGCACGGACCCGAACGACGGCTGCAACCGCCCGCAGGAGCGCTCGCGCGGTCGCTACTGCTTCGCCTCGGGTGACGCCCGGGCGAACGAGAACCTGCACCTGACGACCATGCACATCATCTGGGCGCGTCAGCACAACGCGGTGGCGGATCGTCTCGCGAGAGAGAACCCCTCCTGGAGCGACGCAAAGCTCTACCAGGAGAGCAAACGCGTCGTCGGCGCTCAGCTGCAGCACATAACGTACAGCGAGTTCCTCCCTCTGGTCCTCGGGGAAACCGAGGTCGCCCGGCGAGGACTGAGGCCCCTGAGCGGGGGGAGTCACCGAGCGGTCGATGATGAGCGCCCGGACCCTGCGATCGCGAATAACTTCGCGACTTCTGCCTTTCGATTCGCGCATTCGCTCCTTCCGGGGCTCATGAAGACGACAGACGCGCAGAACGGAACGGAGGACTACATAGAGCTCCACAGAATGCTGTTCAATCCCTACAGTTTGTACTCGAGACGAGGGGTTGAGAGCTCCGTCATGTCGGCGACCTCCAACAACATCCAGAGGACTTCCCCCCACGTGACCTCGGAGTTGACGAGACACCTGTTCGAGGATCCGATCGATCGGAATGAGGAGAATAAGCCCAGGTTGCCGTGTGGACTCGACCTGGTGTCCCTGAACATCCAGAGGGGACGGGACCATGGCCTGCCGGGGTACACCAGCTGGAGGGAGTACTGTAACCTCACGAGACCCGAGAACTTTGGGGATCTGGAGGGAGTCATGAATTCGGAGACTCTGGGGGAGATTCGGAAGATTTATGGAGAGGTGGACGACGTGGACTTGTACACGGGGGCTCTCGCGGAGAAGACGACTGAGGACGGGATTGTGGGACCGACCTTCGGGTGCCTCATTGGGGACCAGTTCCAGAGACTGCAGAGGGGGGACCGGTTCTGGTATGAGAACCGAGAACAGCCGCATCCGTTCAGCGAAGGTAGAGTATCGCGAGTGAAAAAAGTCGGTTTTTAGAGATCCACTGTTGGAAATTTTTTGAAATTTCAGGAACAGATGCTGTGGAGGCTTCAATTTTCTGAATGCGAATTCAATTTCAGAGTAAATTGCGCATGGAGTTCCTGATTCATCTTGGAAATTCAATGAAATTAAGTTTTTGATTATGAATGATCATTGAATTTTTAATGACAATTTGGATTTGGAAACCTATCGCGAAAATTAAGCGACAGATTGAAAACGGAGCCGAAAAGTTGCCTGAATTTTCTGAACCTGAGAAATCAAATTTCATTGAATATTCAAGAACATTGACTATTTTATTTTGTTTATTCATATCTCTTTCCTACTACCATTACAGTTTTATAGGCTCCCCATTCGTCTGCCTTGCCTCTCCCACTTCTCTTCTGATTTTTTCTGCGTTCAAGAACATTGACTAATTTAGCAGTAACAAGATCACACGGAGAGGAATGTTCAGAAAATTACGAAACTCACAACTCACTCACCGATTAGGGAATCGATTCAGAAAATTTAAGTGACGGTATCGGAATTTTTTACAGGATTCAGATGAAAATTACTGAACGCTCCGAAAAATTCCAAGACAGTTACGTAAATTTTCCTACAACCACATTTCGCTCCGGAATTACAGAAAAGATACGTCATTTTGACTGAATATTTCTCTCGGTGCAATGGAAATTCCATGGAAATTCGTTGTTAAAATTTCAAGATTTTAATGAGATTTTGTTAATGTTATTGACGTGGATATGTCTATGGTTTCAATATGTGGGGTCATTTTGGGAAATGGTTCTTATATGCAGCGCCATCTATTGGAATTCTAGAAAATTCTAGACATTTCGAGGTAATTTGAGAAGTTTCTTCAAATTTCGAAAAAAATCAAGGAGTTTCTAGAAATTTCGAGGAAATTCAGGGAGTTTCTAGAAAATTCAAAAGAATTCAAGGAGTTTCCAGAAAATCCGAGGGAATGCAAGGAGTTTCTAGCAAATTCGAGGCAGAAGGAAAGACCATGGACGTATCCACGTACAAATACAGCTGTATCAAAGATACAGCCGCCTGCAATTTTTTTTATAACGGTTTATGTTGTCACAGACCAATTGATGGAGATCAGGAAGACTACCCTCGCAAGGATAATCTGCGACTGTTCAGACAGTATCGATAAAATTCAACCCCAGGTCATGAGATCCGTCGATGCCAACAATCCCATCACCGCTTGCAACGACATCCCCATGACAAATTTGAGCCTCTGGAAGGAGGCCATCTGATTTCATTGTAATGTTGTGTGTAATTTTTTAGAGGAAAGAATTGAGATAATAAATGAGATTTTGTACTTTTCTTTCACATAAAACTGTTCATTGGTCGGTTGATGCTTGCGGATTTTTCCGAATTTTATAAGATCTAGACATTTCCGTGCTCCTTGACGATTTTTTTATCTCTCCAAACCTTCATCTCTCTAAATCAGCGCAAAAAACTAATAGAATTTTTTCAGAGAATTCCAGTAGAAATTTCTAGCGATTTCGCTAGGTCTTCTATTGAATTTTTTTATACGCGAAAGGACGAGATCTGTGAGAATTCCTCGTTAGAGCTTTTTTACAGTTCCCGGAATCCCCAACAAGTGAATTTCTCGACCTTTTTGTTGCTATTAAGATTGATGCTACTTGAAATTTTCTACAGAATGTTCTCCTGATCTGAGAATTTTCTCAAACTTTCTCACTCCGAAGCGATTAGCGAAACAAGACAGGAGTAAATATTGCAATCAAATATCTTTGGAGTGAGTGGTCCTAACAGAATTCATCAGAACATTTTTTTTATAGTTCTTGAAATTCCCTTGAGAAAGGGCTTTTCAAAAATTTTATTGAGTAGTCTCCTCGCTCCAAACATTAAAGAATCAAAACACAAGTAAATATTGTACTCTATCTCTGTAAATATTTTTGGAGTGAAGAGTTTTCAGAGATTTACTCCAAAAACCTTTGTTGTACTCCTTGAAATTCCCTACAAATAAAGTTTTCTGACGAATTAGTGTAAACCTCTTCACTCCGAATCTATTCCGAAACAAAAATGTCTTACCTTATCACGATTACAACGTACTCTGCGTCAACCGGTCTTCCGCCCTCCACTCCACAATCAACCGAAATTTGAGGTTATGTCAAAGTTTCTACAACTTGCATGACAGCACCATGCACACGCAAAGTATAAACAAATCAGATTGTATCATGCGTTTGAAACTTAAATGAACGTACGCATCGATCCGCAGGTCTAATGACGTGTAGACAATTTCCTAGTTCTAGTTTCAGTTAGAAGAGAATTGCGATTATGAATCCTATAAATTTTCTTGTGGCTGCCGGCCTCGTTCACGGGGTACTGTTTTTCTTCAATGTGATGTTTCGGGTAAATACAAAATAAATCTATTTCAATCATCGATTGACTCAATTAATTATTGAAAAGAATGAAATAAGAATAACGATAAAATTCGGGTGATTTATTATTGAAAATTATTTCAGTCATGCTCGCACATTCCCTACCTCTTGTTCATGGAGAACACTGGACTCGAGGTGAAGACGTTCAGTATAAAATGGTTCACAGGGGCTCTGAATCGGCCTCTGGTCAAGTGGGGAACGTCGAGATCGAAATTCTGGATTTTGTGGTTCAACTTGGGAGTTCTTGTGACGATGGCCCTCCTTCCTGTTGCCTCGTTTATTTTAATCAAAATGCTAGTACTTATGTTTCTCAGTGGTCCCAAGGGTGAGAAGGTGGCTGCAGGGTGGGAACTGGAGCCCATGGTAATTAATTAAAAATGTATTTCTTTTTGCATTTTTTTTGCAGAACTTGCATGAATTTTTTTACTTCTTAACGAGTGATGTTATGAGAAATTGTTGAAAGATCCTATATCACAATTGTTTGAAGTTACACTGTTGGACATTTTTGGCTGAATGTTTCGCTATATTTTTCCCAAATTTTTATCACATTTATCACAAAAATTAGGAATTCTATGGAAAAACGATGGAAACGGTGAATTTCGGTTTAATTATTCTGTGAAAATTAAGAGAAATCAGGGAAATTCAAGTGAATATGTTCTTCAATCGTTAATCGATTGAAAATTCAACATAATTTTAATAAATGTTCATGTTTTCATTGGAAATTCAAGTGAATTGAGGAGTTTTCGTCTTTCAACTGCCCAACAATTAGGACTTGCACTGAATATTCAATGAAACTCGCCTGAGAATTACTAGTATATTCGACGAAATTTCAAATTTTTCTCGAAAATTTTCATCATATCAAAGTTCTACTGAACTTTCGAAGAATTCCGTCACTAAAAATTAGAAAATTCTGCGGAAAAAACGATGAAAACGGTAAATTTCAGTTCAATTATTCTATGAAAATGAATAGAAATCAGGATTCTTCGATTTTCAATTAATTAAGAATTCACCACAATTCATGTATATTGATATCTTCATTGAAAACCCAACAAACTTGAGGTGTTATCGCCTTCAGCTACTCAACAGTTATCAATTGCATCAAATTTTCATTGAGTATTCAATGAATCTCCTGAAAAATACGTCGTCAACAGTCCCTGAAATATCAATTTCTCGTAACACTGCAGTGCATCACCTTCACTTTCATAGATTCCTGGGGTGAATGTTCCCTTCGCCGACATTCAGTACTACGCAATCACCCTGGGTCTCTGCAGCATCGTCCACGAGGCAGGTCACGCTCTGGCTGCTGCAAGAGAGGACGTCCAGCTGTACGGCGTTGGAATGCTCCTAGTTTACATCGTCCCAGTGGCCTTCGTCTCCCTCAACAGTGAGCAGCTCTCCCAGAGGCCGATGCAGAATCAACTGAGGATTCTCTGCGCCGGAGTTTGGCACAACGTCGTCCTCGCAGTGGTCGCAGCTGTGGGTGTCTTCCTGGGCCCCTGGCTCTGGGCGCCAATGTTCTCAGTGAACTCTGGAGTTGTCATCACCTCGATCCACCCCCACTCGCCTCTCCTGGGAGTCACAGGCTTGAGCCACTACGACGTCATCCACACGATAAACGATTGTCCAGTTCGAAACGGCAACGACTGGCATAACTGCATCCTCCAGGCTGTGAAACAACCCACCCCGGGCTATTGTGTTCCCCAGTCTCTGGTTCAAGAGCACGATGAATCCATTCCTGTCTGGACAATGGCCAATGGAGAGGTGAATTGCTGTCGCAGGGAGAGTGAAGCCGATGGAAAATTGTGCTTCGAATTCATCGAGGAGTCCCAAGTTCCCCTGCAGTTGCAAGAACATTCTTGTCTGCCTACGAGATTGATCATCGAAATGTCGAGGGGAATCTGTAGGTCAGGAAAACAGTGCTTGGAATCTGGGACTCACTGCATGAAGCCCACGTTGGATAACGTGACAAAAGTAAATTAAATTCATTTCTCAATGTTATTTGCTGTTCAATTCTGGGGTGTTTCATTATTTGTTGGAGGTAGAAGATACTCTTTGCTGCATTCAGTTTCACGAAAATGCATATTTTCGTGAAACTAAATTAGTTTTTTTTAATGCTTGCAAGAAGTTTAGTGAAATTCTTATATATTCGATTCAATTTCATTCTTTATGGTATCTTCACGGGCAATAAAATTTAATGGAAAAGCCTAATGAATTCGCTAGACAATTCTATTGGATTTATAATGAACTCTCTATTAGCTTTTGGCCAATTGTTCAATTGAAAATATTCTATAGAAAAAGTCGATAGAATTCGATTTTTTAATACAACATATTCTATTTTAATATTCTCTATAGAATTTCCTTGGCTTGAGTTTTTGATGTTTTTTTCATTTTACTGTTCTTCTCTTTTCGTCAAGAAAATCAAACAAAAGACGTCGACGAGAGATAAAGAGAATTGCGATATTAATAAATTAGCAAGAAAAACCGAAACTTCGAAATGTATTTTGTTATTTTTATCGCTTTGACCAGGAAAAGGAAAAGATTTCTACCTCTTCGGAACTGTTTGTTCTCGTAATAAAAAATAATACCGATGAAGGAATGAAATTTTCTCTAAATGTGTCAAAAATTGGACAAACTTGAAAATTTCTGTCGAAAGAAATATATTGATCGTTCCAATAAATCGCCTTTGATGTGGAGCTGACTCTGAACTCGCTCATCACGCTCAATTTCTTAAGGTTTATATCTAGGTGCAAGTAAATTCTCATCTATGCTTTTAGAGATATCATATCATTTTTTTGTACCTATTTGATGAGAGTGACGATGGGTATAAACATTATCATGGGAATATCCTTGGAAGAACTATAATAATAATTGACAAGTAAAATGAAGAATTGTTAGAAAATAAAAAACTAATCGATTTTGATTTTCAGATAGTTCAAATCAAACGAGAAATTGGAAAGGACGTCCTATTCTTCGGTCACCCAGCAGAGATCTATCGAACACTTGAAATATCAGAGTGGGTGCCAAAATATCAGATTTTCAGTTCTGATTTACCAGAGTCTCTGACATTACTCTGCAAATACATAACTGTGATCTCAGCGGGTCTGGCTGTGATGAATGTCGTCCCCTGTTTCTTCTTCGATGGTCAACACATTGTCTCCACACTTGCTCAGAACCTACTGAGACCCAGGATAAGGCACAAGAGCTTGAGGCAAGCCATTGCTCTGACAGTCACGAGTGTCGGGACTCTGGTGCTTGTTATCAATATCATTCATGCTCTTGTGCAGAGACAGAGGTAGTTGGTGAAGCGAACTGTGGTGGATGAGTTTATTCATAGTTTTATGTACAGTGATTTAGGGAGATTTTTGCCCTGATTTTTTTGGTCCTTGCTTTGTACATTTGTTCATATTCTGCATTCAGTCGGTGGGTTATTTTGTCAAGTTGAGGTTTCGCTTGAGTTCTTTCATTGAGTTCTCCCCGTGGACAATCAGGGATTTAATCGCGAACTGAAATGTTAATGTAAATTAAATCTTAGATTGTTATTGAATTTTGAGGAAAATAAGTCTTAAATGAATTAATTCATATTTGGGTTGAGAAAATCTTGATTCGTGAACAGGGGCTCATGGGGCAAAATGGACTTGACTTTTTTTTATATCAATTGCTTATTTAATTTGTAGTGAAATCGGATGATTTTTCTTTCATGGAGAGGACGATTGAGAATGTTTTGTTTCCATTCGAGAATGGGTTTTTCTTGAATTAAGAATATTTCCTTTCAAATGGAGAATTTCCACACGTCTAAAAATAATGATTGGCATCCATGAGAATGATTGATGCATTTATTTCTCATTTATGACTTTTTTGAAAAACATGAAGTGTTCAATTTCCCCACAGATTCACGAATAAAATATTCTTTATTAGAGAATGAAAAATGAAAAATAAATAGTAAATAAGTGAAAAATGTAAAATAAGCAATACTTGTTCCTAAATGGAGAATTTCCACATGTATGAAAAAATTGAAAAGAATTTCTTTGTGGATTTCTTCATATGATCTTTACAGTAATAAATTTTCTGCTACAAAATACCCACTTCGTCTGTCAAATTTTTATTCTTCTTGAAATCCGATTTTGCCCAGTTTTTCAAATACTCCTTGTCCTGCTTGTCCTCCACTTGCCTGATGGTTCGCAGGATATTTCGATAGAGAGTGAGAACTTCTTGTCTTCGGAGAAACTATTACAATTCACAATTAAACATGAATTTCCATTTACTCATCGGTTCCCAATTAATTGGTAAAAATTCACGCTTTTTTGTTTCACCTGTTTTAAACTCAAGGATGATTTTGGTAATTTACTGGCCATTTAAAATTATTTAAAGGAACTAATTATATTATTTACAATATGAACTATTTTTGAACATGTATTCTGCAGCGATTTGGAGCAGACACGATTGTTTATTGTGAAATATCCACTGTGCACTCATGAAGATTGCGGCGAGTTTTCAATGCTACGATGGGTCGTTTCGTGGAAATAATTGTTGTATGAATTTGGCTAGATCATCATCGGCGGTCTCGACGGTGAAGGAAATTTCAAAGGATTGAAACTTACCTCGCAATCATTGTGATTATATCCTATCCATATTGGATTAATTGTTGTTTAATTGATTCCAATAAATTATTAAAATGGTAAGTCGTCAATTTCTTTTCTAAATCGATTCTTCATTCATCTATTCAGACTTTCAAACTGGGTTTATTGTTTGTGGAGGTTAGATTCACGATGACATTATCATTTTTCACGATGCAATTCTCTTTCTTCGAATTTTTTGGGAGATAATTAAAGCCATTTTCACGCAATTATTAAGGCTTTTTTCAATTATTTCATGTTTAAGGATGTTTATCCATTTTCCAAAACTCCATTTTTTTCATGTTTGAGGAGTATTCTATGATCCTTTATAATGATCAGGGAATATATGAAACTGATATTTTTGATGACTAAAAAAAATTAGTTGAAATTAAAATAATAAATTTACGAAATCGAATAAGCAATTTTTTTCTTATATTGAAATTCACCTCCGAATCATTTTGATTATATCCTATTCATATTGGATTAATTGTTGTTTTGTGCATTCCATATAAATTATTAAAATTTTAAGTGATCAATTTCTCCTCCAAATTGATCATTCATTCGTCTATTCATTTTTTCAAACAAAGTTTATTGTTTGTGGAGGTTAAATTCACGATGATATTATGATGTTTAACGATGCAATTCTCTTTGAATTTTTTAGGAGATAATTAGAGTCATTTTTACTTAATTATTGAGCAAATTGTATTATTCTTTCATTTGATGTACCCCAGAATGTTCGTGAGAAATCTAATACAATTGATTCAAGAAAGATTATATATTAAAACGATAAGTGACATCTGATAGAAGAAAATGGTGCAAAATGACCATTTGAAAGCATAGGAGAGGTCCGGGTAAAATGGACACTTGACTTTTTTTAAAATGTTAATGACGGGTTGAAATGTTGATAAAATTTAATAATTTTTATTTCATTGCAAAGAACAATTCTTTCGCTTTGTAATGACCCTAAACTGAGCTCAATTGACAAATTTGTTTCTGAGTTATGAGTAATTAAAACAAAAGTCTAAAGTGTCCATTTTACCTCACTCTCCCCTACTGCTAATTATTAGTAAAATAGCTGTGCTATATAAAGACAAAAGTATTTTCCTACTTTTTTTGTTTTATAGAGTTTCAGATTACCCCCTTTGAAAGCAAAAACTCCTGTTGCTGAGGAGTTTGGCATGAACAATGGTACTTATGGGGTGCCAGATCCCATGATTTTGGGGTGAGTTTACTTACATTAATTGTCAGCTAATTACTGAGAATGATAAAATTCTACTTAATGATTGGGATAATGACATTATTCTTTACAGAATGCCAGCGGCAGCCCACAAGCTTGGAACTTCTCACCCACTTGAGGCCTCAGAGCGAAACGTAATCATCAAATTTTTTAATTAATAGAAACTCTTCTATTTAATTCATTTTCTGGTGGATTAACTTGATTTTATTCTTTCAGTTCCACCAGAATAAACTGAGACGTGAAATGGTGCTGTTGAGAAATGTTCAGGGGCTCCATGCACCTCTGCGCATTGCTATGGAGATCAAAGCTACAGAGAAAGTTGGCAGACATCCATTCTTACCCTCTTCGGGGCTGATGAGGGATGTTCTGCTGGGTCGTGATGAAGACATTGGGTAATTTTTTTTATGTTCCCATCAAAGAGTATTTATTTATTTGTTTCTTAAGTTGGAATGACACAGATGTTTGACTTACGAAATAGACATTTTTTTGTTGTAATATAAATGCGCGAAAGTAATTTTCTATTAGTCTAATTGTTTCTCTCAGAAAAAAACCTATTTAAAATCATGAAGTAGATGAGTTAAAATTAGAAATACTTTCAAATTATATTTATTACATTAAGCTATAATATTTTATTGATTGCATTTTTTATTGAACAAATTATTTAGCTACAAATGAGCTCGTGGGTTTAAGCATTTTTTCAATTATTTACTTAGAAATATGTAATAAATAATAAGAGAAAGATTTTGAGTTTTATGCGAAAATTCGTAGTAAATAGTTCTTCTTAATCAATGATAATTGTTTATTTCAGATTCGAAGATGTCTTCAACACTCCCGAATTCAGAGAACAAATGGGCCAGCCACACGCCGTTATCGAGCGAACTCTCAATTTATTGTAAGCTCTTCTTCATGATATTAAGTCCATAATTCTGCAACAATTTCACGTAATCTGATGAATTGTTAATAAAATGCTACTCATTTACATCTACAACTAAATAAAAATTTATTTCCAAAATTTGTAAAAAAACAATCCTATGTCGTTCGTGATTCATGTCATGCGTCGGGCCACACGAGATCGTTGATCCTCAGACTGCAAATTTTCTTGACTTCCTCAATTCCAGTCTTCAACTCTACTTTCCTAGAATTTTTGAGTCTTTCCTCGATGGCTGTCAGAATTGTCTGCACTCGGTTTTCCCTCGCGCAGATGACGAAGGGAAATGAAAATATTTCCTTATACCTTCGCAAAAATACGAAGAATTGAACAAATTAATAAATTTATGTCCAATTCTATGAAAAAACGATGAAAAGAGACAAGTCTAAGGAATTTATATTGATAAAAAAAATATCTTCGTAATGTAAAGATTTAAGGCAAGAATATTGAAAAGCCTTTATAATAGTCTAGAAAATTTTCTGCGAAGAATGTTTTCTGATGGATTACTCTAAACCTCTTTCTTCCAAAGAAAAGAGTTTTTTCCTCCTCTCGACATTTTGCTCCTTCGTCTGATATTCTTCAATAGTTGCATTAAAAATGATGATTACGTACATTTGATTGAGATTATTAAATGTGAGTCTCTCCTCCTTCGTCATTGCGTTGATCCCCGCGCTGTTTTGCTCGTTTTCAGATTCTTGCGTCAATTTCTTCTCATCACAGAGTTTACCAGCTAAATCTGGGTGACTCAATAACACGGATTCTTTCGCTGAACAAAAAAAATCATCAGGGGAATTCAATCATTGAGAAAACTCCGTTTTTTTCAATTTTATCACATGATTTTTATCAAGTGGAATATCACGAATAGAGAATTATTCTCTCGAGATGTTTTTAACATGGAATTTCTCAAGTTTATTCACTCGATTGTTCCTTCTTATTAAAAAATTGGAGCAGAAAATTGAAAATTCCCTAAATTCTGGTTAGGTAATTTGTACAGGAACGATTTCTACAGAATAACTTCCATAGAAACATTAAAACTCGTTGATTTGGTCAATTAAATATTTTTTAGTGAAATAAAAATCAAAACTCTAAGAAAAAATCTGCAAAAAATCGAAAAAAATAAATTCTGAACAGAATTCTCTAGCGAATGCACTAGATTCCATTATTAATTTTTTTTTCGAACGTGAATCTTTTTGAAATACTGCATAACTAAATTTGGAGTTGTCTCACCATATGTATCAAGTCCATCCAAATAATCACAAAACGCTCTTTTGAGGCCTCTAACTGTCGCAAAAGGTCTCTGGAGAGCAACTGCACGAGCTGCTTCCGGGCAATGCTCTATCACATTACCGAACAACCACTCGAACTGCTCAATTTCGAGCGCATTTACCTCTCGAATACTCAAAACGCCAGCTCCTGTCATTGTGTCGTCTATAAGGTAAATTGGAAATTGAGGGGAGTCTGTGGGAATGAAATTTCTCATACGTTGAAGATCGATTATATATATCTAAAAACGAATAATTTTATTTCGTTCGTGACTGCTATCGCAGTGTAGAGATTAATGCAGACGTTATCAGTAGGTTTGTGACGTTGGCATCAAACTACGGGCTGTATTGTTGATCAACATTGAATGCGGAATTGTTGATATATTTTGAACTGTTTCATGTTGTTAACAATTGAATGCGAATTACATTAAAGGCACTTCACAATCATATGTGGTATGAAAATTAGATCGAGAGATCAACAGAATTCCTATTGTAATTGCAATATATTCGGTTGGTTGCATCAAGCCTTGTCTGGAGTGAATTCATTCCAGAATTAAACAATTTTAGAAATTCTTCGTATGAAAAAATTCAATTTTAGGAAATATACGTACGAAAAAGTTCTACAGAAAAACCTGGTGAATGCGCTAGACAGTTCTATTGGATTCATATTGAATTTTCTATTAGTTTTTTTATCGTTATTTTACATCGCTTCGACCCGGTTATACTGCGATGATGATCAAGACTTTAAAATGGTTAGATCGCACCATTCTTCCCGGCCGGGATTTGAACTCTATTAGTTTTTGGTTGATTCTAACAACTCAATAGCATTTCCTCGTCTCAAATTTTCCAAGTTTTTTTGTTTGATTTTCATGATGAAAAGAAAAGAAAAATGGAATGAAAGAAAATTTGAGCCGAGGAAATTCTACAGAAACTATCTTAATACAATAAGTTGTATAGAAAAATACGATTCCATTGGCGTTTTCTGTAGGATATTTTTTATTGAACATTTCAATAAAAACAGCCAAAAAGTAATAGAAAGGTTAATAGAAATCCAATAGAATTGTCTAGCGAATTCGGTGGGTTTTTCTATTAAATTTTTTCGCGCGTGTATCGACTAAATAGTTCATAAATGTTGGAATTATTGGCGAATCGTGATGATACATCGACACACCGCGTCCGATCAAAGTTGATCGGCAAATTATTTTTATTTATTCCTATATTTAACTCAGGATTTGTTCAGCTGGGCTTCCTGCAACCAGGCCATTGTGAATAAAAAAAATAACTCATGCTGTTTGAATTTTTTCTAGAGAAAATCTTGGGCGTAAAATTGGACGTAAAAGTTTTCGCTCTGTATTTTCTGTCTCCCATTACAAAATCAATGAAGAACATGGAGAATTTATGTCCAAGAAATTCTGTAGGAAAAAATAGCCAAAGGATGAGTTACATAAAAGAATCATAATCTATTAAATTCGTTTATACATGAAAGAATGCAGAAGTCTTCAATGCAAGAATTAGTTATTTTGCATAATGCAAACCACACCATAGAAGTATTTTGAATGTCGATTCTCTAATCAAACTGTGAAAAGACCTGAACCAAGTATTACATTTCCAACGTTTTTCTTAAATCTTATTTTATTATTTACCTGCATAAATATTGGTAGTGGACACTGGAAAATTGATGTACTTACTGAAGCGAGATGTGGACGTGTCGAGTGGAAGTTCTCGACTGAGTGGCTTCAATGATACACGCTCGATAAACACCAAAACACAACTGTACAAAGTTCAGAAGATTATCAGTGCCAGCGAGCGACTCAATAAAGCATCTCATGTCACTGCAGGCCCCATAAGTGTTCATTCCGATACCCAAACAGTAGAAAGAGACGATGATGTGTCTTTCAGCACGACCGATTCTCTCCCACAATGTTTCCCCGTTGATTTATGATGGAGATTGCGTCAGTTGTGAGCGATAGAAAAAATTTTTTTCTTTTAAATTCCACAAGTTGAAAATTTGAATACCATAGTCGATAATAGAGGGGACTAGAGGAGGGCGAGGGAGAATCGCCCAGAGAGGTCGTTAGATGTCCGCTGAGTAATATTTGAACCGTCAAGTGGTAAGAAGGGTAAGAAGTGTACGATAATCGTTTTGAAATTATTCTCGCTCGTTCGAATGAAAGAATTTTTTGCCGAGGAGTGTGTTTGAAGAGAAAAATTATCTGACATTTTTCGCTCAATGTATTGTTTCACAATTACAGAATTTGCTGGATAGTAATTACTTATATTACACAAACAATTGGAAAGAAAGACAAATCAGTAGCGAAGTGGTAAAAGGATAAGTCAATTTGGACTATTGACCAGTTTTCAATCAATAGCTCGGAATCTAAGCGAGATGGCGAAATTTTTGTTATAACCTTTTTTGTGGAGCCGATTGAGGGCTACAACAAATGTGATTACGAAAATTTCGCTATCTCCCTTAGATTCCGAGATATTGATTGAAAAATGGTCAATAGTCCAAAATGACTTATCTCCTTTTACCACTTCGTTACTGAAATGAATCCCCGCAGGTTCATTTTTATCACTTGTGCCTAAAGTGGAATTTTACGCACGCTCTCCACACATTGAGACGCAAAATCGGGTTCAACTATTTTGAATTAATTTATGAATTGATTTTAATTTAATTTATGGCCGTGACTATTCGCACCATTGCGTGAAGCACTCCCGTACACTCCATACACTCCACGCATGCGTGAAGTTTGTGTGTTTCACGCAGCCGAATTTTCATACTGCTGTGTATTTCACGCAGTTGCAGTTTCATACTACTGTGTGTTTCACGCAGTTG